CATATCCCTGACTGTTTTCCCATTTACAGGATCCTAGAAGGTGCTGTCTTTTCTTTGTCCTCCTTCTTCCCAAATATTTATTATCTGTTGAATGCCTAATTGTACATTACATTCCACTGTTGCCATATACGAAGAGGATTCAGACGACTATGTCACAGAAGAATTTAGAATCCCACCCCTTAGGTGAGGAAACAATAAAGTACTACCAGTGATCTAATTATAGAACACAGATTGTAGTCTCTGTTGACAATAAAGTGATATAAGGTAAACTCTTTGAGGGCAGGTCCTTTTGGACTTTTTGTTTGTTTGTCTTTGGCAAAGACAGGTGGTACTGTGGATAGAGCACTGGTCCTGGAGACAGAAAGACTTGAGTTCTAATCTGGCCTTAGACAATAACTGTGTGACACTGGGCAAGCCACTTGACCTCTGTTTATCTTAATTTTCTCAACTTTAAAATGGGGATAATAACAGTACCTGTTGTGAGGATCAAATGAGATCATATTTGTAAAGTGCTTGGCACATCGTAGGTGCTACATAAATGTGTAGGGCAGCTAGGTGGCATTGTGGATAGACTGCAGGGGTGGGGAACCTGCCGCCTTGAAGCCACATATGGTCCTCAAGTGAAGCCCTTTGACTGAATCCAAACTTCAGGATTTGTTCTGTGAAGTTTGGATTCAGTCAAAGGGCCATACCTGAGGACCTTGAGGGCCACATGTGGCCTCCAGGCCTCAGGTTCGCCAATCCTGAGATTAGAGTGTTGGGCCTAGAGTTGGAAAGACCTGAGTTCAAATATGGCCAGAGACACTTACTAGCTGTGTGAGCCTGGCAAATCACTTAACCTTGTTTGCCTCAGTTTCCTCATCTGTCAAATGAGCTGGAGAAGAAAATGTCAAACCATTCTGGTATCTTTGCCAAGAAAACTCTAAATGGGGTCAGAAAGAGTTGTACATGGCTGAAACAACTCAACAACAACAACAAATATGTGTGTATTCCCTCCTCCTTTCCTTTCCCTTCCCTTTGTATACCCAATAATTGATACAGTGGTCTTTTCTCTGTAAATGGGAAAGGCAAACTCTTCTGATTATTAAATCTTTCCTGTTCGCACTAATGCCCTCATCATAGGTGTTCTCAATTCAGGTGTTGATGAACCATATAAAGATTTTGTATAGGTTAGAAAGTAGGCAGATTAGTTGATAATTGTTGAGGTTTGCTAGGTCGCCTTTCTAATATTAATATTTTGGCCTGCGATTTTTGCATGCCTTTGGTTTCTCCCGCTCATTTAGATATCTTGCAAAACAATCCCATAGTTCCTTCCCAGCTGTCTCACTGCTGTCATATTTCTCCTCTATGAATGGTTGGTCTAATCTAGATGCTTTTTCTACCTTTGTTCTCTTTCACTATCATTTCTACCTTTTTCATCAACACCTCTGAAATTATTTCTAGAGTCCAGTTGTGGTATTGGCACTACTTGATATGAACATGATTTGCCATCAAAAACTTTGCAGACTTTTTTTTCATTTTCTTCTTTCCATTTTTGTCCATAAATAGATCAGAAAGATCATAGAGTTAGCAAGGACCTTTAAAAGCAATTATTAGAAAGTAATCATTTTAATTAGAGTAGAAATCAGTTGTTTTATAGATGAGAATTTAAGAATTTGAAGCACAGAGTTAATTTTAAGTGACTTACCCAGGATCACACAGCTGTTAAGTGTCTAAAGTAGGATTCACACATTCAAGCATACACCGGGGAAAAGTTGATTTGCTTGATGAATTAATGAATGATCTACGTAGAATTGAAGAAACTACATTCATGTAGTGGAGGAAAGCTTGTCTTCCCTAATAGCCCTGCAGGGTGCATGGCTAGCTCCCTCCCAGACATAAAGAGCAAGAACAAACTCATTATTAATTTTACATGAACAATTTAAAAAATTTTGGAAGAAATTCTATGTTAATATCAGCTCTCAAAGGCACTGTGTCAGTTTATGCACTGTTTCTACCTAGAGGTTGAGAGTCAATAGAAACAGGTATTTCTGGTATCTGCCTTTTCTTTAATCAGGATTTGCATAGGGGTCCTGTTGTCGGCATTTTGTTAATATGTGTGTGTGTGTGTGTGTGTGTGTGTGTGTTTGTAGTGATCTGGTGCATATCAGAACATGAGGCAATGTGTTAAACCTTTTGTTCTCATTTTTCTATTGGTGTATGTTTTAAGGTTGTCTTTGCTGTTTATTAGTATTGTTACATTAATTAAAAGGGGGATGAGGATTGGGCAAAGACAGCTTATTTAATGTTGCTAAACGACTTTGAAGTTAGTGGCTAATGCTATAGCTCAGGATCAAGCTTCTAGCAGGGGTGTGTCACTAACAGGTTTTACAGAATTCATATTCCATTCTTTCCCCAAAATGACCAATGCATGTGCTTCACAAACAATCCAGGAATCTATTTAAATAGGAGGCAAATATTTTAAAAGATGAAGCACTTGATAGAGAGGTGTTTGTAGTCACGTAAGAAGGATGGTTGGAATTTCTTGTCACAGTAGTGTATTTGCTGGGCTCTGTCTCCCAAAGATCATTCTCTGTGGCTCCTGTACATAGTCATCTGCTTTGTATGCAAAAGACCTATCAGCCAAGAGTCCAAACAAATAGCAAATGTTGTTTTCCTATCAGTGACTGTTTCCAGGAGGTACAGAGAAGGGGCAAAGCTATAGTTTTGATTTCTTGGCTGAAAAACCATGCCCCTTCAAAGCACCCAAGTGAGTATGCAGAGAGGAAAGGGGGTGGGCAGCTTGTGGGGTAGCAGGTTTTAGCTGAGATTAAGACAGGATTAAAGCAACAGAAAACCCAAAACTAAATAAAAATCCTTTGGGGCCCACTTTGGAAAAACTGAAACAAAAAAACCTGGAAGTTTTCCAGCATCTTATGTTACTTTTTTTAAGGGAAAGAATGGAGGTTTTTTCAAGAGGACCTAAGGCAGAAAGCGACTTACTGAATGGCCCCAATTCATTCTCCGATTTTAAAGGAAGCAAAAATTCTCTTCCATTTTGGGCAAGGGAAAGAAACAGCATGGCTAGTGTCTTACTTATAGATGGGGAAGGGTGTGTGCTAAGCACACCATTGCTTAATAGTCTTCTTTAGTTTAAGGTAGCTGCTTTCAGTTTATATTCACAGGTAGAGATGACCTCTGAGTCCAAGAGCTAGCCTTGGCTTAGAACTTCTAGACACATTTCAGTCAGATTTTATAGGATTCTGCCTGTGTGTCTTTCCCCATATGATCCATGTTAAGCCTGTGCACTTAATGACCCTCTTTGAACAGACAACTAGGGAGGAACAAATGGGATTTTTAAAAACAACCGCCAGATTCCAGCAACTCATATATTGTAATTCTCTTCACTCTTTTGCAGATAAATTATCATTTCCCTAATCTGGCTCTGGTACATTGGTTCAGGGCTTTCCCCTTTCACTAGAGTGAAAAAACTAATAGGAACCTTCTAACCAGCAACATCTTTTTCACTTGTTAGTAAAATGCTTGTGAAGCATTGATGAAAACAATTCCATTGGTCATAAATGACTAACATTGAAACCTGTATTGGATAGGAGTTATCACTTAAGAATGTTTTTACCTGCTGTGTATCCCAGCTTTGATTATCCATGTAAACTACTATTATTATCAGGGAGTGCTCTTACAAGCATATTTACTCAGAAGTGAAAGCAATAGAGAGATATAGGCATATATGTACATATGTACCAGTTAGGGGTGAGTTTTACAAAAGACAATCTGAATCCACCACATAATAATCACCAGTTCTAGACATATTCATGCCAAAGAGCCACAACTATAGCATGAGAGAAAGTCCCTGACATAAACATCCAAACAGCTGGTCTCTGCCACAGCAGGGACAGAGCCCTGAGGAGCACAAATTATTCCCTGAGTTGCAATATTCTCTCCTTAGGGTGTCACATCAGGAGTATAAGAGCTAAAAGTGTTCCTTTGTGATGGAGTGTTCTTTGGATAGAGTAAGTTCTGAGATCTAAGTCCCAAGGGTGTGTTTGGGGGTAGGGCCCTGGGTAATGGGATTATATTGGAATCTGGAACTCTTGGGATCTAAGAGAGGTCTCATCGGGAGTCTCAGGTTCTACAACAAAAGACAAATGGAAATCTAGTTCTCTGCTTTCTCAGGCCTTATACGTGCACTTACCTGTTGACACAGTTGTGTTGGATGCGACTTCCCACATTCCCACAATCATGGTCACACAGGAGTGGAGAGAATGATGAGAAGTCCCCAGCATCTCTTCATACATGTATAACATTTATACATCTGTCGCAAAAACCAGCAGCAAATAATTATTTTGGAAATATACGCTTTCTTCTATACTGTGTACTAGATTTTGGGAACTAGCCTAAGAATTTAATATAGACAGTTTCCATGTGTTGCTATGTATTTGATTTCATTATTTGTCTGGACCCACATAGAACTATCTACTAGAAAGTATGTAAGAGAGAGGGCTAGGAAACCCCCCCCTCTTCCAGGTTATTAGATGAAGTGTCTTCAGGTGAGTATTATTTGTGACTATATGTTTTTCCAAATTGCCTAAAGTTTGGGTTACTGTAAGTGTATTTTATAAAAATATAATCTATATGTACTATACACATGTAGTTTCTGTTATAAGTCATTACATGAGGAGAAATTTTTAAATGATCATTTGTTTTTGTATCCATAATAAAAAAATAATAATGACAAATATGTCCAGATTCTTTCCCAAAAGTATCTCTAAAACAAAAAAAGTCTGATTCCACTCTTGTGACAAGGAAACATCAAGCTGGAGTAGTGTCCTCATTCCAGCTAAATCACATAGACCTCTCCGATTGGATAACAGGAAATAACTTCAAGGTTTGAGCTTCTGTGTAAACAGATGTGCTTTTGGGGACCCTGATCAGTATGCTTTACGTAATTATTCTAACTCATTCATGACTCAATTCTTAACTGTGCTTATTCTTTTTATAAGTGTTAGAAAGGAAGATATCCACAAGACAAAGTAGAGAGGAGCTGATAAGAAGGGGAGTGCTTAAGGAATTGCCTGATCAAGGTGAGGAAATTAACACCATAAATTAAAAATATTGTCGTCCTGAACTCTTTGATGCTTTCTTTCATTTCTGTGAATATTACATCTACACTAGCCACAGTCAACAAATTAAACAGGAACTCCATCAATCACTCGGTCAGTGAATAACCATTTATTAAGCACCTACTATGTGCCAGGCACTGTGCTAAGCACTAGGGATACAAAAAAGAGGACTCTTGCACCTGAACACCTGAACAATCTGGAAAACAAAAGTTCATAAGAGGTATGAAATCCTAGACTGAACCAGCAGCTGTCACATTTTAGTCTAAACTCAGAGATCTGCAAAGCTCTCCCTGGAGTGGTAGAGGAACACCTTGGGAACCACATTTCCCTTAACTTCTTCCATCCTCTTCCTGAACCAACTTTAATATTCTGCAGGAAGCAAAATCAGTGGCTTGGAATATTGAGTCTCATTCAGCTCAATTCTTTCTTCTAGCTACCAAATAGAGACAGATAGGTGAAGGAACAAACAGGTCGCTCCTGTCCTATTGTACACGCGTGTAACCCAAACTCTCCGTTCCAGACAAACCAATAAAGCATAAACAAGGATGGAAACAAACTTTAACTTCTTGATTAAATGGTTTTCTTCTCCTTTGCTTTCTAAACTTGTTTGCCCTGATCTGTTTTCTCTTGATGCATCTACTCAATTGAGAGATTCTTTTCTCTTACCATTCACTAACATTTCTCATTTCCAAGTACTTTTCTCATTTCTTTATGTAAAGTACTTTGTAGACCTTAAAAGACTTACATACATGTTAGCTCTAACTGTTGCTATCATTCTAACCAACTTCTTTATTCTTTCCAGAAAGAGGGCTCTAATTCATTACACTGAGTTAGAAGTTTAAGGGTAGCTAGGCAGTGTAATGGACAGTGCACTGGACTTGGAATCAGGAAGACTCATCTTCCTGAATTCAAATCCACCCTCAGACACTACCTAACTGTGTGACCCTGAGCAAGTCACTTAACCCTATTTGCCTCCATTCCACATCTGTGAAATGAACTGGAGAAGGAAATAGCAAACTATTCCAGTATCTTTGCCAAGAAAACCACAAAAGGGGTCACCGAGAGTTAGACACGACTGAAACAACTCAACAACAATCACAGAAGTGCAGAAGTATTTTTTTCTGTTACTTCTCTAAGCTGACTGTAGTGAATTTTTCTTCCATTATAACCATGAGGAATTTTTAATAGTACAGTGCTGGTTCATGTAATCTCACTTTCTTCCTTGTTTCCTAACTACTGCTGTAGTATATCCTTATTATTCTACTTTATTAAAGAGGGATTGATTATTATTTATTTATTTTTAATGTTTCATAATAATAGTATTCCTTTATCTATTAAACATATTCCACCACAGGTGCTTATGGCATTTTTTTTTTCTGAGCAGCCACTTGAACAGAGATGATATGACTTTTTTAAGGTTGTAGTGATTAATGGTCATAGTAGTAAAGCTGAAGAGGAAAAGCCAGCTACTGGTTGTGTACTTTCAGGCCTTTTTCAAAAGAGATGACAAGCATATTTTGAATAAAATAATGTCATTTTCTCAGAATTCTCACAAATACAGATATTATTTTTTCATTTGAACATCTGCCTTACCAAGTCTTTTGTTAATAATAGTTATGAATTAATTCATATTATCACTAGCTTCTTAGTACCTTTCAAGCCATGTTTTCTCCCATTATATCCTACAGCATCAATTTATCAGGGGCAAAACAAGCCATCCTAAAATAGTAATGGTAGGAGGTGTTCCTCTAGCATTAAAAAAAAAAATCCTTCAGTAGACTATTCGAGTGACTTTTTGATCTTTTTGGAGGCATTGGGAAAGGGGAGTATTTTCAGAGTGCAAATTAAGAATCCATTTTATAATGTCAACTTTGAGCTATTAATTTTATCTGCAGAGTCAAAACATCTTCCCTTTGTGCTTTTTTATTTATAAATCTCTAAAAAGAAGACAAAAATTAGAAAATTTACAGTTCAAAGAATAGTCATCCTATGTGGGTAAAGATTAGAGAGGCCATATCTTTGTCTTTTTCTCAGAAGAATAGTAGATAGATGGGGAGAGAATTGACTTTTTTTTCAAAAACAGAATTTAAAAGTATCAGTTTAAAACTGAACTTAGGATACCTTTGATTTTTGTTCTCCCATATTTATGGTGATGTTTGCTTGATTGACGAAGGCCTTTTGGGCCAACTCACACTTATTTCCCAGAAAATTTTCTTTGTTTTGCTTTTCCCTTTGAAATTTTGCAGTTGAATATTAAAACACATAAAGAGAATTACCACCTAAAAAAACCATAAGCTGATGTTAGAACTGCCAGAAGAATTGCTGAAGTTTACTCTAAACTTCTTTTCTATGCATATAAACTCAGGAACATATATTCTGTAAAAGATTACCTCATTCCTCAAGGCTCCCTATGGTGACTGGAACAAGCATCAGCCTTCCAGTTTTCAGCCAAGTGCTTGAGAAAGTAGATTTCTGTCATCCCTCCAACAATAATTATCTTGAGAGTTTCAATCTGTTTTTAGCTCTAGCCTAGAGACTGGAAACTGTTCACTGCTTGGTTAACAGCCTCTTCTTTTCAATGATGAAATTTCACTCCTTTACCTTGATTTTCTTGACCTTCAATAGCACTAAATATTATGAGAAAAGTTTGCCCTATAGAGCTTGTGGAATGGGTGTAAAAAAAAAGGTTCCCTTTGCTAAACTTGATCGGCTTAGCTGCTATTTCTTGATGCTTCAACTTGGGGAGTTGTTTAGAGAAAAATTCTTCCACAAACCCTAAAAAGTTTAGTTGTCAATCATCCCTTTCAAAAATATCTAAGGTGGTCTCAGTCCACTATCTTTAATGCTTTTCTTCCCTATTTAGTCTTAACTTTTACACTGGAAACACTCATGTGTGATTTTTAACTTCTTGAATAAATAATTCTCTTAAACAAATACACTTCTCTTCCCACCTCATGCATATGTCTAGTATCAGAAATACGAGTAACCTCCAAGGAAGAATGAATCTCGTCAAGTGCCATCATTCTATGCGTAACCCCTTACTTAAACATTATTCATGTTATGGTGTCAAGATTTAACCTAAACTTACACACTTGAGTTTATAATTTTCAGTTTCCTATGGATACTAATTCTCTTCTAAGATTTGCCCTGTGACACTGTCAACTCCTCAACTAAGTCTTTTACTTTCTTTTACTTGGAATTTCCTTTCCAACTGATTCTTTATCTCCTCTTCAAATTGCAACACATTAAGAATGCAACTTTACATTTTTCTCAACTCCTCATTTTTCTTGTATATGTAAAACTACTTCAATAACTCCTTTATTTCAAGTTCTAAAATTGCTTTCATTTTTTTTAAAGGATGAGAATTTAGTTTACATGCTCTTATCATATGCAATAGCTTTTATTTTCTAAGTTAAATATAAACCCTTTCCCAAACCCCACTCTAATGTTTCATTGTGGTACGGAACTGACCCTGGATTTGTAAAAACTATGCCAGCTACATACAAACTCTGTTGAGTTTGACCAAACTAGAAAGATGTTGAATATGAGTACAGAAATGAAGTCTCTATACTGTCTGAAGAATATCAGTCTACCAAGAGACAAAGAGGTTCTTTACTAGAAAATAATGGGGTTTTGTTTTTTAATAGTCTTTAGTCAAGCTTTAGTTTTGCGTGGCCCTCTTGTCCTTCCACAGTGACATTGGCAAAGTGGCATAAAAGGAGATAGAAAATACTAAGAATCACACAGTTCTTTGATCAATTATAGACATTAACAATTATTGGTTCTCTTAATGTACAGTCTGTGTGCAGTGACTAATAAGCTGTCCCACCATTGGAGAAACTGATATTCTTGATTTAAATTAAATAAGACATGGAGAAGTTACAGCTAAATGAAAGTTGGGTTTACAAAATCTCTATAAAAGAAGTAAATGAAAGAGTTAACAAAGTTGACTTTATTATGTGCCCCAAAGCAACAAGAAATGATATTTCATGGGACACTTAGCCATCTCTCCTTTTGTAGTACTTATGTTGAGTATAAGAAACAAACCATAATGAAGTTATTTCTAGCTCATGAACTAATATCCATTGCAGAGAATGAAGTAGAGAAATTGTATGAATAATTTGATAAGATCTACCAAACTAAGTCAATATATACCTTGATATTTGGTAACTTTAATGCAAGATAGGCAGAGAACAGCAAAAATTGTACTGGATATTTTGGACAAAGAAATGAGAGACCAAAGGCTGACAAGCTACTCAAAAATCTTCTTGTATAATTTGAATCAAAAGGCTTAAGAAGAGAATTAGCTGTGTGCAAAGACAGATCATCAGTTGCTTAAAAGTCAAAATCAGACTGGACTTGAAGAAAGGCTGTTGATTTTGCATGTGGTTATAGCATTTCCAAACCAAATTACTTAAGCATTATACTCTGAAAAAAATGGGAAATAAGCAAAATTAAAGAGATTGACTGTCACTATTTCTTTAAAAAGTTTAATAGATGCAAAACAGTTGCCACAAAAAGAAGCCAGAAGGACCCAGAAACCATGTAAGCCAGCAAATACTTGATTTTTTTTTTGTCAAGTAAAGATACACATTGGTAAATAGCAACATTAATTTAGAGTATAACATGAGGAGGAGTAAGGATTATGAGCAACATAAAACAACAAAAAGTCAGTTAAGGAGAAAAGCCTATAAGGGTTTTTCATAGGATCTAATTGTCATTATTTTAAGGGCATTTTCAGATGACACTGTGTAGAAGAAAACAGTGTCAAATGAAAGAAACCTGTTAATATTTCTACAGTGATTTATTATCAAGAACAGGAGTGGATCCACCTTCAGAGTCTATCATAGAAGTACCCATTGTATTGTCAACATGGACAATGGCATTTAAAAAAATGAAGACAGAAATAACTGCTGGACCTAATAGTGCATCTGAGTGTAATCCATGCTTGATGTGACAATTTTAAAAATATAAAAGGATTGATTTTTATGCTATCTAAAAGCATGACCTCTAAAAGAATAGAAAAGATCTCATATACTATCATCCCAAAAAAGAAAACCAAGAAGACTTGAGCAACTACCAACCCATATGTGTCTACATTCTCATCTCGACTAAATCTTTATGAAATTCTTCTTTGCACATAGAGGATATGCTAAATGAAAATATGAGAATAGGCCAGCTTTCACAGATGACTTTTTATGGCAAATCATACTTTCACAGTCACAACTGATTGCTTATTGATTTTTTTAAAAGAATGGAACTTAATGATATAAAACAACATCAAGCAATGCATAAAATGGAAATATGCTCAATGTAGCATCATAGGATCATAAATTTACAGCAGGAAATTAGAGACTATATAGTCCAACTTCTCATTTTCCAGATGAGAAACTGAGGCCTGAACCGGATGAGTGACTTGCCTAAGGTCACACTACCTAAGGGGTCCTTGCTTGCTTCCTTCCTTCCAAGCAGCAGAACTGAACAGGAGGAGGAAGTTAGGCTGTGCTCTGTCTTTTTTTTTTAATTGGGATGCTTTCAATTATTCCAAACTACTTCCTGCTGTAAAAGCCCATTTTTAACACTATTTTTCCCCCAATGCTATATGACTGCAAATCATAGAACACTAAAATCTCAGAATTAAAGCTAACCATAGGTAACCCAAAAGGTAGATGGAAAGACACATGGCAAATGAAGGTAAACTGCAAAATATTACCGACATATAAAATGTGTGACATTAAAGAAATCTTCACGGATATCTATGAATGCAAAAGGATATGGGTTGGTCCCATGATGATGGTAAGGGTTGGTGATTTTGCAAGCTGAATGTTCTACTAGTATCTAAAAGTTAATATCTTTTCATTTCATTGAGCCTTTTATGTCACATGTGAAAATACTAATTTTCCTTGCCAAGACATCTTAAATTTTGCCCCATTTTTTTTGTTTCTAAATTTAAATGCCAGTTATATAACTCTCTGAAGGAATCTGAATTATGATTTGGATGTAAGATATGTAAAGTTCAACAAAGTTAAACAGTAAAACAGCTTCCACATTTTTTTTTTACCACTAACCCAAGGCAAAGAAAAAAGAAAATAAGGACAATTTATTGTGTATAAATGAATTACTTTCTGGAGCTACCCAATCATACAGAGTGAAAATTTAAAGTTTGTAAGCCAACACAAATATATTTGAGGGATATTTTTATCTTTCCCCTTTGAATTTTTCATTTCTATATCATTTATACTGAGTCTAGGTAAAAATATTTCATTGTGTCTACTTCATTAAAAAATAAGGATCCAATATTATAAAACCTTATTTATGCTTTCTTACCCTGATCACATTTTTTAGTTTTTAGCCTTAACTTGAATAAATTTATATACAATGATGCTCTTTTAATTTTATTCTGGCCCCAGATTATTTGTATTTACAAGTTTTATATATCTGAATAATGAATGCCTTTTCATTTCTATTTTTTCACTCACAGTATGATTTCCCAGTATAAATTTCATTTTCATTTAATAGCATTCCCATTTTTATCAAGAAGACCAATTAACATAACTGTTTGAGGAAAGGTAGCCTAATGAATTATACATGAAAGTTTAGGAATTAATCACTGTTTCAGGATAGATTATTTCTAACGTGGGAATATCTAAGTTAAAATAAACACAGCTATAGAAGATAATGCTCATTAGCTTCTTCACATTTACTCAATTAAAGCTATTAATAATAAGATGATTTTTTTCCCCAAAAATTGGAAGTCAAGTTTTACTTTTCCTTAGGCTGACTGGTTCCCACTCCCCAACTTCCCACTCCATGCTTCTGAACTTACTACATACACCTGATCAGCTTGAGCCCCACTGCAACTCAGAACTCCTGAACTCAAACAATCCACTAGTCTCTTTCTTCCAGGCAGCAAGGATTACACTTGTGTGCCACCTCTACTGTTGGGCACAGACTCTTAACCTTTTTTTGTGACATGGATGCTTTGGTCTGTCTGTCTGTCTGTCTGTCTGTCTGTCTGTCTATCTATCTATCTATCTATCTATCTAGACTTATAGACTTTCTCAGAATGTTTTTCAATTCATAAAGTATATAGGATTACAAAGGAAACCGATTATATTGTAATACAGTTATCAAAATGTATTTTTAAGTTTATAAATCCCAAATTAATAACCCCATGTACGGATTTGTTGTGTCACCTTTTTGGCAAAACTCCTGAGATCCTTTGCTTTGGCATATTTCCCAAAGTTCTTTCTTCAGTGGCTATTAAAAAAGAGTTGAGTTGAAGTACCTATCTATATTTGTACAGAGCATTGTCACACCCAAATGAAACATTAAAATTTAGAATTTCTACCGCTTGATTTTTCTCATAGAATTAGAAGTAGTTTCTATAAAACACCAAATTTTTCCATTAAAAAACTAGGTGAGTTCCTACAAAACCTCATTCATTGCATGAAATCTACAAAACTTAGAAGTAAAGGCTACCAGAGTCATCTTGGTCTATCTAATTCCATCTTTTCAAAGTGTTTGTAATAGTGTGGAGTATTTCTGCATTTAACTCTGACCTAGTACATGGTAGATTAGTGGTCTATTCTTGCTTAGAACATATTCATGCTGCACAGATGTTATTATTTTCTTTTTTACAAGAGAGGAAATTCAGGTAGAATGATATAACATACCCAGGAAATAAGTAATAAATATGGATCTATAATCTAAATCTTCTAACTTTGAAGTCAGACCTTCTTCAACAGGAAAGATGCTCCTTCTTATAATTAGATTTACAGCTTTCATTTTCAATGGAAGTTAAAAATTCTCCTCATACCCCACTCCCCCCCCCCCCCCATACACAGAGTGTTTTTAAATGGTTGTATCTCTTTCGGGACCTTTTGGTTCTTGTAAACAAGTAGTGGAGCTAACAAATCACAGATCTAATCTCTCAAAGTATGCAACCTGCAAATTACTCTTTGACACTCATGACTGCTAATTTCCAGGACTTACTCTAAACAACTTGGCATCAATGTTGTTTAGATTGAAAATCCTGGATGAAGGACTTGGATTGCAGATTGCCATTCTATTCTGGATAGTTTGCTTTGGTTTCATCTGCATGTGAGTGAAAAGCTGATGATATCTATCTTGAATCTCTTTTGTTTCATTTCAGTTTGTGCATTCTTTTTCTTTAGCTTATTGAATGACAGGCAGTTTTGATTAATTTTATTCTTTCCTTAAATCTACTAAGTTACTAAACTAAAGTGGCAGAGAAAGCCTTATAGGCTTTACAGTGATATGCTATGCCAGTAGAGAAACGTTAAAGAGTGTACTTTGAATTTTCGTGTTATACAGATAGTTTGGAATCAGACATAATTTTTAAAAAATTGATGTTTTCCCAACATCTCCATGAATAATAATAACATCAAAATTAAGCCCACAAACTCTTTTTCCTCTGAATCAAGGATTTGCAATGTGGGGTCAATTGAATTTCTTATTTTTGCATTTTGAGAACTTTATTTCAATATAATTTATTTCCTTTGTAATTCTATTCATTTTATTTTAAATATTTAAAAACATTATTCCAAGAAGAGATTCATAGGCTTCAACAGAGTGCCAAAGGGACTCTGACACAAAAAAGATTAAGAACCCTTGCCCTAAATTACCTCAATTCTTGAAAATATCTATAATTAAATTGATGTGAAAATGCCCTCTGTCAATGCAGATATGCAGTTCACCTCTTTCTCCCTCCTCTCTCTCCCTCTCTCCCTCTCTCTTTCTCACTCTAACTCTCTCTTTTTATGTCTCTGTTTTTAGTTGCTATGGATTAAAAAAAAACATTGTGATGACTTGGTGACCAACCTTTTTGTCATGATCTCCTGAACACTTGCCTAGACTTTTCCATACCCGTACCTCTCACTAAACCTCTCCAGTTTGGTAGGAATTGTTACAGCTTGTACTCAGATGGTGTAGTCTTCAAGAATCCAGGGTCCCCTCCATATCACACTGAGATACTGATGTAGGACTTTAGCTCACACAAATAATAGTTGTGTTGGTGTGTAAGGCTGTCAGAGAAAACAATTCTAATAGATTGAAGAAAGTGCTGTTGGAAAGTGTTCATGTTTTCCCACTGATAATTTGTCTGCCATCTCTTCTTGCTATTGATGTATTTGCATTTGTGTTGTGTGTTTTAATGTTGATTAAAATATGTTTACTACATTTTTCAGGTTATTGTTTTCACCCTTTCATTTCTGAGTAAAATAGTTTATTAAATGATAGCCATTAAAATATCTAAGCTGGAGGGAGCATCCTTCTCCAAAAATGTTTATAAATAGGATATTTCCCCAGTGAGTTATAATGGCTTAGATATCATCTTTCTAAGAGCTATGATTCTGTAGCCTTTCTTCTCTTGCCTGAACTTTTTAGTAAGGCCTAATAAAATAGTAAAGATTTTTCTCTTTTTTAGGGGACCTTAAAACTCCCCAAAGCCCTATAATATTTTGCCAAAAACTGAAAAAGCTGATTCTTAAGAAAGCTGTCAAGTTAGACAACTAGGTGTTTCTTTCCCCATTTTAGATGGAGATGTAACTGTAAACTTTGAAAATTCAAACGGGCACATGATACCCATCGGAGAGGAGGCCACACAAGAGGAAAATGTAGTAAAGTCTGAAGAAGGTAATGGCTCTTTGTCTGAAAAAGCAACAACTGTGGAAGAAAAAGCAGAAGATAAGAAAGGTAAACTAAAAAGAAACTCAAGTCCTTTTTCTTTAATACTGCTCAGCATTGAGCACTAAGTCTTAGGTTATTGGTATTGCCTCTAAGGTCAATAGTGGCTCTTGAAGCAAGAGCTGGCTAATACCTAAATAAAGAGAAAGCAGATAACTAGAGTTTAAGTAAAAGGGCCTCATATATAGCACATGAAGAAACTCCCCCACATAGTTCCATATGTTTCAAAATCAAATGATAATCTTTCTTACCAAAGAGAAAGTTCAGAGTAATTTAGTTTCTTTAACCAGCATCAGCATACTGGGAATAATATCCTTAAAATACAGCCTGGTTTGGGGCAATGTTTGCTGCTACTTGTGCCTTTTATTCGAGAAGCTTAGAAAATCATTTTTTCAAAAATTCTGATAGTATCATCCGAAGAGGTGCTTGTACCACAAACCCTTTAAGATGGTATGCCTAAAGGCATTGGCACTCAGGACTGCATATTTTGATGCCAGAGTGAAATATGAAAATTTTACATAACACCCATAACATACATAAAACACCTGTTTGTTGCCTTCTCAATAATGACAGTCTCTGTTGTCTTCATCATTCTTAGATCTGCCGATCTGAACAAGAAATCTAGTGAGTGAAGCTTTGTTGTGAGCCTGTGTGAGTCCCGACACAGCTCAGCAAGGGACTGTCTCAGGAACAGCAAATTGATTGCCTTCAATTCTGGAAGGCCTGCCAGTCTTCTTCAAACTGTTCTCTGGGGGCTAAGTGGTAGCAACATGCCAAATGAGACTTGGACCAGAGTTGCTCTACAGCAATCTCAAGAACTGAGCTCCCAGGTTGTCAACTACTTCACTTCAATACCTGCTACTGCAGTTCTTATTCCCCTTTGAAGGCTTCTAAATATATCTTTTTAAGATGAGGTGAAAAGGGGGAAAAAAGCAGAAAATGGTATCTAGATCTAAGGCCTTAAAAAAAATCTATTTACTTTATAACCTCCTCTCAAAATAGGTTTTCTAAATCAAAGGGGAGTCTTTGACGATTCCTCATATAAGTCTAAACTTTACCTTAAACATAAATTTAAATATAGAGGAAGGGTCTGTGACTTTTTTGAAAATTAATTACTTCATTTCATCCCTATTTATCAAGGACAGTTTTCTCAGTCCCTCTCAGATAATCTTAGAGACAGAATATGAGACTTTCAAAAACATTTTTAGTGATAAAGGACAGTGGAACATAATGAGTTAAAGCAGTCTAAGGTATACAGTTGGTAGAATTCTCCCAATTGAAATGTGTAGCAGCATATTATTTTTTTTAAGTCCAATTGTCATGTGCTACCAAACTGTTACACTTCAAATCCATCTGTGACTTGTCTACTGAGAGATAATTTTCACATTCATGAGGCATTTCCTTCATTACATAACAATGTCATCTTTAATGCTTACAGAGTTGTTGTGTGGTATCAGTATTCCAACTGGCTTGTCTTCAAAGGAAGCTTTTCCTTTATCTCAACATAATGAAAAGTTGCTGACAGCATTGTGTAAATTAGATTTCTGCTGCCTTGACATTCGGGGGGAAAATGGTTTCATTTCATAGATAGATAGAAGAATGTTTGGTTATTTCCTATACCTGTATTGTAGTTCAGTCCATCTTGATCCTCAAAGAGACCAAGATTGCATCTGAAACTTGGTTAATTTGTACACAAAGAGCTAGAATCCTGAATAAATTGGTGAACTGTGAAAAAGAGAATAGGGGGCATTCTTCTTACACTTTGAACATTAGTTAAAAAACAAATTCACCCTTATGGTGTTAATTTACTCCATGTTTTGGGCATCGGCACTATGCTTCCTTTTCAGCTTAAGCAAGGTTTCTCCAGAGTATGATTTGTTGATCTGCTCATAGATGTATTAGATTCACTCAACTGTGCCTTGTGCTTTTAAAGCCCTGGATATTATATATGCATATGATTCTTAGTATGTAAATATCTCAGTTGAAGTATTTAAACCATCACTGTCAAATGGGGAAAAAAGTGGCATTTATTGTATGTAAAACTGGATGGGTTGTTTTCAACCTTTTCTGGGGATGGATGTCATAGTGCAGTGATATTGGAGATATCAGATAACTTGGAGGCTTTTAAACCACATGAAGCTCTTTCACATATCCCTTGTAGCTCTTGAATATTTCTTATTTCCACACTGGAGTATTCTGTTATGTCAGAGAACCTCTAGAGCAGCAGTTCTTAAACTTTTTTTCTGGCAAAGACCCCTTTGGCAGTTTGGTAAAACTTTTGTACTCAGAACAATATTTTAAAATACATAAAATAAAATACATAGGATTACAAAGAAAACCAATTATATTGAAATACAGGTATCAAAAAAAATATCTCATTCCTGGCCCCCAGGTTAAGAAACCTGTTCTGTAGAGTAACGTAGGCAAGTGGTGGTTATGTAGCTCCTTCGGTTGGCAAGAAAGGGCTCTAGAGTTACTTTGATTACCACTGGCTTAGTTTCTGGAAAGCTGTCAGTCCACTGCCATTTTTCTCAACAAATTCATTTTAAAATTGTTTTACATAGAGGAAAAATTGGTATGCAAGCTGCCAAACAAAATTTGGTCTTATATATCAAGAATCTGAAATGACTTACTTCTCCTCACTTCTTGGTATTTTGAAGAAGTCTCAGCCTGGAAAAGGGGAGGATTTGCCTTCCATATACATACATTGCTGATAGGTAGAGGTGGCCCTAGCTATAGGTTGTGGGACCCCTTATACCTTATGTTAAAATGTTAAAATTTCAGACAACCAGTTTGTGTGATGTCACTAGATCTGTGTGACTATAGAATAAGACAATAAACTTTTAATTTATTTGTTTTCAAGGCTGGTGGATTGATTTTCCCCTTTAATCTGGTAGGCAGCAACTCTTTTAGCCAGTCAACAGTATTCTTTGGATACTCATGCTAATCTATTACATTTGCATCTTGCCTCAGACTACCCTATCTCTTGATGGGATATACAAGAAATAGAAGACTGGCCTTTCTCCTCTTAAAAAAAAAGAAAAAACAAACCATTACACATGCAAAAATACTTAAGGACAATGACAGTGCCAGTATAAACATACAAGTGAATGTCGTATAAGCTGAGCAGATAACTATGTAGTGACCCACTGTAAAAAAGTAAAGTCACAGACTCCACTTCTGATGAGCCTGTGGGGACTTTCAACATTGGCAAACCTAGGGTAGTTTGTTTACTTTTTTCCCAGTGGGGATTGTGATTGCCGGATGCTAAAGAGCAAGTGGTCTCCTTGTTCCCAAACTACAAAGTCTACTTTCTCGAGGATATGACATTAAAGAAATAGCCTCTAGCGATGAACAGAGATCCCAGAGAAAGATCAAGGTTTTAAATATGTAATGAAATTTGTTATGAAAGAGGATTTGCTTGCCTTCAATTCTGCATTAAGTCTGTTTGGCATTCAACAGCATCATTGTCATCAATAACAAAAGTTTGGTGAGCAGTTTTCACAACCTTAGCACCATGTGAGGCACTGCCTTTGGCAGTCTGGATACAGAGAGGTGTTTGATACAGTCTCTATTTCCAATTCAGCAAGCATTTAAGTACCTCCTATGCCCCAGGTCCTAAACTGGGTACCGGGGATACAATAACAAAAGTAAAGCAATTTCTGTCTTCAAGAAGCTTACTAAGGAAAAGCATGTATACATAGAGATAAATACAAATTATATACAAGATATGAGTATATAAGGAATGGAGGGAAAGAGTCCTAACAACTGTCTTATCTAATCCAGGAGATAAGATACATACACAGAAAGACAATAACACCAAGTTACCCAATTCTTCCCACATAAGCAGTCCATAAATAAGTGTTAGACTAGTTTAAAGGAAGTAATGATCACTGCAGTCAGTGAAGGCCTGAGCCGAACTTGGAAACATTAACTGAGTGCCTGTGGTGTTCAGAGCACTCTACTATGCTTCTGTGTGAGTGGAGTGGGTGGATGGTGGATGGGATGGGGCAGGGGCCACTGTTGCCAAAGAAATAAAAACCATAGCTCCTCTTATTGAGATCCTTGTCCTGGATAAAGAATGTGCACCACATTCACCAATATATGCACTTTAAACAAAGTTCTCTTATTAAAAAATTTCTGGTCTTAACAGTCATTGAAAGTCAGAGCCTGTGAAGACATGGTGTCGTAACAATATGTTTGTCTTTTATTAGATTTCATTGTGAACTAAATCCTGTTTAGCCCTCTGGTTCAACTCTTGACGAGTTTTAATATTATAAACAACTAAAGCTAAGGAAAAGCCTAGTGAGTATCCCAGAAGCAGATTGAAGAGTTCATTTTCAGGGACTCCTTTACCAGCACAAAAAGACTGATATTTTTTCTACTTTGGTTCCATTAATGCATTTCCAAAGGTTGCTATTTTTAAATGTCATCTTTTTTGTATGTGCATCTTGCCCCACTGTCATCCCTAAATGGTCTTACTCTGCAAAACAATCAAGATTGGAATCCAAGCTTGCCGTTACTGTGCCGAAGCACTTTCCAAAAAAGTCAGAGGAGGTTACTCTGAAAGGGGAAGGGAGGGCTGGCATGCCAGGGGCATATGTGGAAGCCCTGCAAGTAAAGAGTTGTTTATTCTTAGCTGTACGATGCCAAATCTAATATAGAGTATGGAGTCTGTCATTCCTTAGGGAGTTATTGATTTTTGACACTGCTTTTTGTACTGGAGACCAGGATGAGACTGAGCACAAATCATTTTTAGGTACATCTGGCTGGTGTTCTTTCCAGCAGACGGAAATGTCTCAGAGGAAAGTCCTTGGTGGTACAAGCAAAAGGCTTGTTGCAAATCAAAGTGCAGCAATGTCACAAGCCATAACAAGAAGAAGGGTCATTGCTGCTGCTGTGGAATGCTTATTCTAAATTTCTAACCTACAGGCTACCAGCAGGGCTGTAGCATTATTGCAAATAATCCTCAAATCTATACGCACACCAAACATTGTCATTTTTATTTCATAGAGTTCCAACAAAATACACTCCATTCACAGTGGATTTTTTGTCCATGGTTCTGTATTATCACTGCTTTCTTTTTGTCTCTTAGGAAAAATAAATACATTTTCAGGCCTTTTGGAATGAAATATGATCTTTTCATCACAGCCTTTTGCCATTACATATTTTCTTTCTCAACAAACATTAATGGCATAACTATTCTCATGTGGGAACCAGTGGAATATCTTGATGATAAAAGAAGAGGTCTTCATTCTGAAAACAGCTGGGGACCACTGGTCTGTAGTACACTTATCATACATCAAGATGTGCCTTTAATTTTTATTGGGGCAGGGATAGCATAATTCAATAAAATTCAAAATAAGTTGAATGTGAATGTGAAATACTCCCTGAGTGAATCACTATCACTTTGGGTGATATAGAGTTTAATTTTTACCTAATCTTGCCATTAAAGTTTATATAAATCCTCACAATAACATGACGAGAGGAATTTGGTAAGTAGATGGCTTTCCTGCTGCTATTTTATTTAGAGAGAAATTGAAGTACCCAGAGAATGAACCATAGTTTTCTTTGTCTTCTAAGTGTTTGTTCTTGTCCCATACATTGCCTATTGTAGAAAAAATATTTCTTTCTGGCTCCCCAAAGCCAAATAACACCGTCTAGCTGCCACTGTCTGTCTTGTTCATTGTTTTTATGTGACCTGTGTCTGTATCAGTTGGCTTCTGTTCACTTTCTCATTTGTAGAAAACCCAGAAAACCACTCTGAAACATCGGCACACCTACTTCCAGCTCCTCCTAAGCCCAAGCCTAAACCTAAACCTAAAAAAACAGCTGCACCTCCAAAAGGGGCTGCTGCTGTACAGGCAAGCCACAAGGGTGATGAAGCGCCACCCAGTAAAAAAACCACCAAGGCTCCTGGTAAGCAGCCCCCCATCCCTCCACCCAAGCCGACAAGCCGAGGGCTGAACCGAGAAGTCGGTGAGTACTGCCCTTTTTTTGGTGTGGATGGTGTGGTGTACATGCATGCCTGGCTCTCAGAAGGGTCTTAGGTGCTTGGCCCTGGGTCTGGCACTAATTGTCTCCTTTAAAGGTAATGGACTGGTACATTTAAGCAAAATGACAGTGAATCCAGTTGTTTTGCACTAAGCGATAAATTTGTAATTTTCTTGAAATTGAAATGGTCTTTGTTCTACAGACTAGGGGATGTAAACTAATATACTTGAGTTTGCCTAATTACCAGTTCCTTACATTTAAATTCTGAGCTAGAAGGTATGTGGTTTGCTTGTCTTTGAAAATATTTTCATTTTGTCCATGAAAACATGACCTCCACAGTGTAATCTTATTAATTTTACTGTCTCAAAATAATGAAATTAAAAATCCTGTGATATATACAAACCCTTTTGAGTTCCATGTAGTTCAAATTCCCTTATTCAAAAGCATGCAAGTCTCTTGCTAAATAGACTTTCTTGTTCTTGCCCAATTTTTTTTTCTTGTCCAGGGTATTGTAGTAACTTCAAATGATATGTATACTATACCACTTTTCTACCCAGGAGATAACACTTTGCCATTAGTTAGGTTGTAGATATAAACAGTCATTTGCCATAAGTTGCCTGTGAATATTTTAGAAGAGCATAATGAATTTCATGTATCCAGTATTCAGCTTTCCTTGAAGTATAGATGTGCTAAATACAAGGTTAAGCCCACGCCCTTCTTTTTTTTTTAACAATTATGTAGATATGTCATCCAGCCTTTAGAGCAAGTAACTGTTTCCATGATAAATAAAAACACTCCATGTGCTCCATCATATATTAAATTCCTTAAAGAAATGAGAAAGATCTTTAATTATTGGCTTTTTTCTTTGGAATGATCAGGGGTGTTTTTTTTCCATTTCTTATAAAATAATGCCTAACTCCAATGCTTTAAATTCCTGTAAGCTGCGTATACACATGGATGATTCCTTTTCTTTCTTTGTGTGGTTTTTGTTGGTTCCTCCCCTGCCCCCATGCTTTCTGTGTCTCCCTCTCTCTCTCCCTTCTGTATCCTCATACACTTCCCCACCCCCAGGTTCAATGACTTGTCTCATTCTCTTCTAATAAACTCTGAGGGGAAATGTCTCAATCTGGCTTATCTGACAAGATTTAGAAAGCATTGAATGCTTCATGGAAGGCCTTCATTCTGGGACCTTGAAAGTGTGAAGATGTCCATGTGTGTCTTTGTGTCTATTTCTCAGACTGACTTACTAACCCTGGTGGTGGTGGCAGTATTTGAAGTAAGATGGGCGGGATGCCAAGAGGGGCTCAAAGTCCAGTTTTCTTACTCTCTGAGATTAAAACAGTACACAGTCCCATCCCATTCCTTTATTACTTATGCAAAGCTTACCTTTATCCCCATCTCAGAAGAAAAGGTTTGTTTAAAAAAATTCATTAGTGTTAATATTGTGAGAGTCATGTTTAAACTACTTGCCAAAAAAATTAAATTTTTGTAGATTCTAAATTGGTAGGAATATACTAACTCTGACATTTACCTTTTCTCCTCCAATTTCAAGCACAGTCTATGAATGATAAAAAATCTCTCTGCAAAAAGTTGGTATTTCATGGAAAAGACATTTGCTTTCATGAAGTGTCTAGTTCAACTGATAAAGAATAGAGGTTTTGAATTATTCTTAATACCTGACTTCAGAACTTGTTTTTTACCTATAATATGGTATTCCCAGGGGAGTAAGTACTCCAGCCATTTGGATATTTGGTATTGAAAGTGACAGATGGTCCTTTAATGTGAATAAGCACATGGTTATCCCAGGAGTGATAACAGAGTAGTCATCTGAGATTTTATCAAAGTGAACCAATGGGCCAACCCTGGTGGACTGTCCCTGACTTCTGAAATGTTCTTGATGCAAGTTTATTTAAGGTTCCATAGGTGTTTCATTTGCACCTTCTTCAGTCTTTCTGACAAAATCATTTTTAGTTGGTGGAGAGGGTAATGGGTGTGACTCTTAAGAAAATGTTGCTGAACTCTAACTTCTGCTTTTCAGGCAGGTACGATTGTTATCTTGCATGCCCAGCGTGGGTCATGAAGAAGGTGATGAGAATCACTCAGTGTGACTTATTACTTTAATGTAGATCTTATGGGTTATTATCTGCTTTACCATTAAGCATTGGAGGCACTGTCCATTCTCTCTCAGCTGCCTTGCAAATGAAGGAAGGCAAAAATCTCCCCTAGGTTTTGCATTACTCTCAGAATTATACACCTTTAGCAGTAGCTGTGGTATTCTTGAGGGAAGAATTGGTTTTTTTTCCATTTTTTTTTCCTTCATGACTTCTCAGGGGTTATCTGGACCAACATGGCTTTCATATTTCATAGTAAGGAAAGTAAAATACTTGTTTATATTTTTAATAAAATCAATAATTGATATTTCACCAATTAGAAATCTGTCATAATCAGAGCTGGACTAGGACGATTTTGTCTTTGTACTCCTTGAGAAGAGTTTTCTAAGCAGTGAATAATGCCAAGATTTTATAGGGTCATGTTTTACGTATTTAAAAAAAAAATTATAGTAAATTGGAAACACCTGAGTCAAAAAATATTCAAAATAACCTTAATTTGTGATGCTTAGGGGATTTATTGCCTTTATAAAATTTTATGGGAAAACACTTCGTAAATTCTAAAATATGATTTAAATAGAAGGCATTATTGTTGTCTACATAAATTATTGATGTTAACTGTCCCTCAGTCTTATTTTGCCATTAAAGCAACCCCAATCGTTTTTAAAAGATGCAGAGAGACTGGGGAGAGCATTTCTGTTTATGGTACAAATCTGAGAGTAACAAAACATCAATAGGATATTCTATAATCCATCTTTCTCAATAGTTTGCACTGGATTTCCTCTACTAAGATGTCTGAATATTATGAAATTGTCTTAAAGGAGGTGCGGGAGATGTTGGTTTTGCTCTTCATTCTGTGATCATCTCCACAGTTTTCTATAGTAAGAGTAATAGTCAGCCTTTTATATAGCCCTTTTGAGGTAGGTACTATTATTAGCCCCAATTTTACAGATGAGGAAACTGAGGCAAACAGAGGTTAAATGACTTCTCCAAGTAGTAGGTGTCTGAAGAAGGATTTGAACTCAAGTCTTCCTGACTTCCAGACCAGCAGTGTATCCACTGCACCACCTAGCTGCCTATACTAATGTAGAACAGGTGAACTCCTACTGATTGGTGGAGGAAAAGGTTTACCTGTGGAGTCCCTGTGGCATGAGGACCAAGTCAAATAAGATACTTGCTCATAGGTTAGTGCTTATCCCAAGGAACAAATACAAGCATGTAAAATTGAAGCAGAAGAGATTTGTGGGAATAACTTACAGATTATAAGGGTTTTAAGACACAAATGTATTATGCAGGAACCAATGGAATTTTCTATGTAGAATAAAAGAAAGCAATTGGGTGAAGGCCAATTTTTCCAGGAATAGTTCAAATAAATCAGTCTTAACCAGAGGCAGGAAAATAGGATGTATACAATCCTAATATAATCCTAACCATTATTATTATTAATTATTATTATTATTATTATGATTATATTACCAATTAGATACTTTGGAAAAGAAGAATAATACAAGTAACATTTTCTAGAAGGCATGAAAATGGAAAGAAGAGTCTAGTTGCTTCAGCCATCAAAGTGTTCGTAACTTATGTCATCAGGAACCAAGAAAGGAAAGATTTCTTCTTTTCATAGTTAGGGCCTGACTGCAATTTCAATTCTCCTTTAGATATAACCATATGCTTTCATATATTCTCAATATGTGCCCCCTTAAAAAAGTATTTTTTAAGTGGTAATCCTACCAAAGGATAGGCCTTTGATCAGAATCACAGGGACAGCTAACTTGTTATACTATCTTATGGTAGTATACTTGCTACCTGCACTTACTTTTTAAGTAGTTTTGCATTTTAAATGAATTTTTCCCAAACATCAGTGGGAACTACAGTTCAGGCACTTTACTGGGAAGCTGTCTTGAAGAAAAAGTTAATACCAAATTTCTTTCTTATTTTAGCTAGTTCCTCTCACTTGAAAAAAACAACTGTGTCCAAGTCATCATCTTCACCATCAACTTCAACCACCTCATCTCGTTCCAAAGCTTCCAAGGAGTCAACTTCCAGCAAAACAGCCGCAGCAGGGACTTCACGGAGCAAGAAAAAAGCAGGCAAACAATTAACCCCCCGCCCACCTCCAGAAAGAGCTGTTTCTGCCACATCCAACCTCAAGGGAGAGCCTTTAGAAACCAGAGTAGAAAATCTGAAATCAGAGGAGTCTCTCCCCATTTCAGAAGGGCAGAATACAGACCTACAGAATAAGTCAGTAGTCCCTCCTCCACCTGTAGCACCACCTCCTTCTCCACCTACTCCTCCTGTTCCTCTGGAAAATCAATGCATTAATGTGTCTGATATTCCGGCTGTCACAGTTAGCAATGGGGCCAGCCTACCTGTCTCTGCCTTAGACTCGAGTCATCTCAAGACAGAAGAGTTCACAGACAGAACCACTCTTCCTTCAGATACCGGCTTGGGTGTTAACAGAGAAAACACAAAATGGTAGGTTTGTAGCATGAACCTCAACATTTTTTTGTACAACTCTATGCTAACAAACAGCAAACCAATTCTGTTTGAATTGAATTGAATCCAAGAATTTACTCTAGTTAATGTTAGGAATCTTTGAGATGTGTTCACAAATGATGATAACATCAATTAAGGCTAGGGAGGAACAGAATGGCTGTAACAGGTTATTGTAGATATTATCATTATAAATTACAATAATAGCTAACATTTATATAGTGCTTACCATTACATTGTACACATATTTACTGAGATATTATAATGGCTCACATACAGGGTTTTCCAAAAGTTTTAGTGTAGTTTTAAGCTATTAAAGTTTAAAATTGCACTAAAATTTTTGGGATGCTCTGTGTACATATAAACACACACAAAAATTTTATGTTTTAGAGTTGGAAAAAACTTTAGAAACCAGCTAATTTAAACCCATCATCTTACAGATGAGGAAACTAAAGGCCAAACATAGGACATGACTTGGCCAAGGTCACAATGGTAGTACTATATAATTATTAAGAATGTTAAATATTATTTCATATATAAGCTCATCTTATCTTCACATATGGTAAGTAGTGTGAATACTCTGGACTTTATTTTACATATAATAAAACTAAGGTTTAGTGAATTTTTGTCATGGACCTGCTGACACAGGCATATACTCTAATGCTGTGGTCTGGGTCTATTCTTTACCCTGGGTATTCTCTTTTACCATTTGGAAGCTATTGGTGGCTCAGAACAGTGCCATTTAGATATCTCCCACCTTGGAGAGTTTTTTTCATGACTAAACTAGAAATATTATTTGGGGATTGGCACTGTGCTTCAGGCACAATCTAGCCACAAGTGGCAGGATGCCTGTCCCTATGTGACTGCTTGATTCCTTTCCTCTTTTCTCCAGGGATCCATACTCGAAAACCTCCAAAAATTGCTAACACAAAAACATAATTCCTACTGACTTTCATTCTCTTAACTTCTATGTAGGCAAATTATTCTCTAATAACCAATTCATACCACTAGTCATTCTACCTCCAAGCACAGCAATAATTCTCAATCAATCCAGAAAAATTATTGCTCAACCTCTGTTACCACTCCCTAGCCAGTGGCCAGTTTTTTTAAGGCATGCTGACCCAGGTCCCTTTCTAGCCTTTTCGGTGGAGATAGTCACTCCTGATAGCATCAAGCTTTTTTCACATCAGTCACATGATGCTTACCTCTTCAGAATTAAGGAACTAAGTGACCTATCCAAGGTTACATACCTAGCCACAACCGGAAACTGTCTTCTCATCCCAAATCCACAATACTTCTTTTTCTTACCAAATTGATAACCCCTTGGTAGAAAAAAAAAAAACTATCATTTAGGATGGGCTTAAAATAACATACATAATTGTGAAACAGTGGGAAATACTCTTGGGATTAAAGAACTTTTTTTAAAAAAAGGGTTTCTCAATTGCAGGATAAATACTCATGGGACAATTAGAGAAGAAAAACAAATGCTGAATTTCCGAAGGAATAAATTCATGTGTACATGTAGGGCTGGAGGGAGTGGAACAATACAACTGTACACAGGGAGTGACCTATAATGGAAAAATATAGCAGAAAATGATTTGGGCGTCAGAGTGGTCCTGAACATCAGTGAACTAAATAGCTTTGTTGAAAAGCTGAATATGTGGTTAGGCTGTGTAAACAAGATTTAAGTGAAGTGTGGTGACAAAATATTCACTGTTTTTGCTGAGTTCTGAATAAAAAGAGATGGATTTAAAGATTTTTGCTCATATTAAAAATAGTGAGTAGATTTCATTTGGAAACTATGAAATTGCTTTCCTTAAATTCCTTTAGGACTAGAAAAAGACTTAAAAAAAAAACTTGCTGAATACTCACTGTGTGTAATAGTGGGTGCTATGGAAGCTGCTGAGAAGTATAACACCACCTTTGCCCACATGGAGCTCAATGTCTATTTGGGAACATGAGACCTCTGCATATAAAATATAACAATACAAAGTAGTGATCACTCAATGAACAATGATTTATTAAGGCCTGCAAAGTGCTGAAGATTTACAGACAAAAATGAAACGATCCCAACTTTCAAGGAGTTTAAATTCTAATGAGGGAAATGAAATGTACACATAAAATGTGTGGGCAAAATATATGCAAGAGAAATGCATATGTGGTGCTGATTAGTGCAAACGTAGGAGTTCAGATGAGGGAAGAGGTATCAGTAGGAGCTGTAGGGATCAGAGAATTTGAGATTGGAAGTAGAAAATGAACAATAAGTAAGATCAGTAGATAAGGGGGTAGGAGCATTCCAGGTAGCTGAAAAAAGCCTGAGTGAAGAGGCAGAGGCAAGACTCCATGCAAAGAGCAGTGTGCTGGAAGTCAAGAAGCTTTGGTTTCTATGGAGTGCTCATTCTGCCCATTGGACAATCAGTCAGTCAACAAGTCTTTAAGTGCTTACTATATGAACTATTTCTTAACCCCTCTAGGCTTCAGTTTGCTCATCTGTCAGAAAAAGAGGGTTGCATTTGATCATTTATAAGGTTATTTCTAGTTCTAAAGTTCTATGTTTCTAGCAGTAAGTAAGCCAGTCTTATTGGAGCCAAGGATTTGTATAGAGGAGTGTTATTGTTGTTCAGTTGTGTCCAACTCTTTGTGGCCCCATTTGTGGTTTTCTTGGCAAAGATAGTAGCGTGGTTTGCCATTTCCTTCTCCAGCTCATTTTACAGATGAGGAAACTGAGGAAAATAGGATTAAGTGACTTGCCTCGGGCCACACAGCTAGTAAGTGCTGAGGCCATATTTGAACTCAGGAAGATGAATTTTCCTGACTCCAGGCCCAGTGATCTATCTACTGCACTAACTAGTCGTTCATATTGAAGATTACTGGGAGATAAAATGAGAAAGATAGAGCCAAATTGGGGAGGGTCTTGGTTCAGTGCCAAATTAAGGAGTACCTTCTGTATCCTGTATTTTTATAAATGATTTAGTAAGCAAGAAGACAGAACAATAGATGAACCTAATTGAGACTTATCTAATTTCCCTGAGTGGGAGGTAACTACAAAGGGTATAGTGTGGTACTCATTTATTTTTAGCAAACTTCATGTTATAACCAAGCCATTTTTGGTGTTTTCCTATTTTTCCTCCCTTTCTGCTCATCTAAAAATTGATTTCACAGTGGGGTAGAATTTTGAATTGGAATGGACCTAAAGGTAATCCAGTACAACCATAGGAAACTGAAGATCAACGAGGTGCAGTGATTTTCCAAAAAACAAATAGATGGCAAACAACAGAGTTATAATTTTAACTGAGGTCATCTGACTCCAAATAAGTCAGTCATTAAGCATTTATTAAGTGTATACTATGTGCCAGGAACTGTGCTAAGCTCTGAGGATACACAGAAAGGCAAAAAGACAGTCCCTCCCCTTAAGCAGCTTCCAATTTAATGTGGTAGACAACCAACAAATACATACAAACAAGCTATTTACAGAATAAATAGGAAGTTGATTAAGAAAGAGAAGACATTCGAATTAAGAAGGATTGGGAAAGATTTCCTGTAGAAGGTGACATTTTAACTGGAAGTTGAAGGAAGCTAGAGAAGGCAGAGATAAGAAAGAAGAGCATTCCAGCAAGAGAGACAGGCGGAGAAAATGCCCAGAGCAGAGATGCTGTCTTTTCGTGAAACAGCAAGGGGGTCAGCCAGTATCACTGGATCAAAGAGTACATGTCAGAGAGTAAGGCATAAGAAGAGGGCAGCTAGGTGGCACAGTGGATAGAGTGCTGGGCCTGGAGTCAGAAAGATTCATCTTCCTGAGTTCAAATCTGGCCTCACATGCTTACTAGCTGTGTGACCCTGGGCAAGTCACTTCACCCTGTCAGCCTCAGCTGTGTGACCCTGGGCAGATTATTTAACCCCATTTACTTCAGTTCCTCATCTGAAAAGGAAATGGTAAACTGCTCCAGTATCTTTGTCAAGAAAATCCCAAACTGAGGTCACAAAGTTGAGCACTACTGAAATAACTAAACAAAGGTGTAAGAAAACTGGAACGATAGGGGGAGACTAGATTTTAAAGGACTTTGAATACCAAATAGATGATTTTGTATTTGATCCTGGGTGTAATGGAAAGCCACTGGAGTTTATTGATTGGGGGGGGAGGAGTTTGACATGGTCAGACTTGCACTTCAGAAAAATCAGTTTGGCAGCTGAATGGAGATTGTACTGGAGTGGGGAGAAACTTGTGGCAGACAGACCCCCCAGTGGGCTATTGCAGTAGTCAGGTGTGAAGTGATGAGGGCCTACATCAGGGTGGCAGGAGCATCAGAAGAGAGAAGTGGATGCATTCCAGAAATGTTGCAAAGATATAATCAACAGAACTTGGCAGTAGATTGGACATGGGGGATGAGAGACAGTGAGGAATTAATTGAGGGTGACATCTAAGTTGCAAGCCTGAGTGAATGGGAGGACAGTATTGCCCTCCACGGTAATAGGGAAGTTTGGGAGCAGGGGAGGGCTTAGGCTGAAAGATAATAAATTCTGTTTTGGACATGTTGAGTTTAAGATATCAACTGGATATCCAATTCAGGATGTCTGAAAGGTAGTTGGAAATTTAGGGCTGAGTAAGTAGATTTGAAAATTATCAGCATAGAGATAATATTTAAATCCTCTGTTCTTTCCTCCACACTGGGCTGCTTTTGTTCTATTTTATCCTAAGCAAATTATTTTGCTTTGAAATGGTCTAAAAAAATAAGATGTAGACAAGTCTTAGTTTTTCAATTACCAATAATATAATTTGCACATTATTCAGATTAGGGACTGCTACTTTTCTCTTTTGTTTTTAGCGTTTTGGGCACCATCATCAGAAGATGCACAGGTGAAGAAAAAGAAAGGGATAGAAATAAAGAATGAACCATAATTTCATTGATACAGAGAAGTCCTGGATGGGAAAACCACTTCTATGAATGCGTGGTAGCACCTTCTCTGTGATTCATAGTCTTAGAGAATTGCCCAGAGCACAGAGAAGTTAAGTGACTTGCCCAGGGTTACAGAGCCAGTGTGTGTCAGAAGTGGCACTTGAACCATGCTATCCCTGGTTCCAAAGCCAGCTCTCTATCCATTGTACCACATTGCCTCCTTTCATTCTTCCATGCATCTTCCTTGCATCATTTCGTTTTGTTATATTTGGCCTTTCTGACAAGACGTTTGGAAAAATATATAAAAATTAAGGACTTCTGCTCTTATTTTTACTTACAAGAAACACTAAAAATGCAACGGATTTTTAATACCTGTGGATTTCTTTCTCCTTTGCTGCTTTTCTCCTCCATTAGTAATGATTATGGGATTTTGTTGCTGTTCAGTTGTTTCATTCATGTCTAACTTCATGACCCTATTTAGGTTTTTCTTGGCAACAGTATTAGTGTGCTTTGCTATTTTCTTCTACAGCTCATTTCACAGATGAGGAAACTGAGCTACACTGGGTTAAATGACTTGCCTAGGGTCATGCAGCTAGTATCTGAGGCCAAATTTGAACTCAGGTCTTCCTGACCAGGCTCAGTGCTCAAGCCATTCAGTCACCTAGCTTTGGAAAAACACATCAAAATTGGGACTTGAGTTCTTATTTTTACCTATAAGGAAAACAAAAATGTAAAGGATTTTGTAATACCTATGGGTTAATTTTATCTTTAATGCTTTTCTCCTCCATTAGTATTGATTATAGGATTAAATTTTACAGAAGATGGTGGCCATCTGTTCTCTATCACCACGGAGGATACAATCAGAATAGGGCTTAGCTGTGATATTAGAGATGTAAGCTCATGGTAACAAAGAATTTCCTGACTGTGAAGGTTACTATAATAGAGTGCTAGATTTTTAAAATAAAATTGCTTCATTTCAAAGGTTTGCTTTGGATTTAGTCTTTGTAAAACAAATGGGAATGGAGTAGGTAACTTCTCAAGTTCCCTTCTAGTCATGTGAACGTTGCTATAATCAGATTTTGAAGCTCTGGGGTTGAGCCATTCCAGGGTCCCAGTGTAATGGTCCAGATATGGATTTAGGTTCCTTCTAAGCAAAATTGTATTTTGTGTCATGTTACCTCCATCAAGGCACTAGGCAAAGTCTGCCTGAAGGATTTAAATAGTGGTTTGACTTAGATTAGTTGTTTAGGTAACAAAAGTAGGGAGACCTTTTGTTTCTATTAGTTTGCAAGCTCCTTGAGGTCCTCTTTTTGTATCCCCAGTTCTCAACACAGTGCCTGGCACATAGTATGTTACTGAATTGTTTTAGTCATGTCCAATTCTTCATGATCCCATTTTGGAGTTTTCTTGGCAAAGATACTAGAGTGGTTTCCCATTTTCTTCTCCAACTCATTTTACAAATGAGAAACTGAGGCAAACAGGGTTAAGTGACTTTACCCAGGGTCACCCAGCTAATAAGTGTCTGAGGCTAGATTTGAACTCTGGAAGACTCATCTTCCTGACTCCAAGCCCAATGCTCTATCCACTATGCCACCTAGCATATAGTAAGTGTTCAATAAATGTTTATTGGTTGATTAACTATATCAAATGGGCCTCAATTGGAATAGAAATGTCAACAGGCTTGACAGTGGATAAATTGGTTATTGCACAAATATCAATCCAATTTATTTAATTAGTGATGTGGCTTTAGGCAAGTCATTTAGCTTCTCTGGACATCAGCTTCTTCATTTATAAAATACTAAAGTTGGACTAGAGGATCCATAAGGTTTCTTCCAACTCTAATGCGGTATTTTGAGTTAGAGAGGTTAGTTGCTGCAACCCTGTGAATCCAGGCCTTAACAGTTCTTAAAAACCATTTGTCATATTCTGCTGGCAAGCTCTGGTCTGGCTCTTATAGATGCCTTAATTCTGAGGTGATGATATTCAGAAATGGTAGATGTATTCCATAAATATCTTAAAACATTGAATATTTTATGGGTTACTTGTAATTGTGAATTAAAACCAGTTTGTCCTTTCTAAAGCTTACTGACATTTTAGTTTCAACTGGAGGCCTACATGATAGTTTATATGGCTTTGGGTTTATAGACCATAAACAAGGTTGTGATAGCTATTAAATATCCTGTAGTCTAGTAGAAAAGCCAGGCTGAGTTAGGAAACTCTCCCAGTTCTGTCAATTTTGGCTTTGCCTTGGGCAAATCATTTAACTTCTTAGAGACTTGGTGTTATCATCTATAAAAAGGAAATAATAATGCCTGCCCACCTCTCTCTGAGAACTGAGGTTTATGGAAAAGAATATACTTCAGAGTGCTTTGAAAACTTAAAAGAAGTGGATAAATTTTTAAAAGTTTTTTAGTATTATTCAGATTGTGAATGATGAGAAAAAGATTGATCTATCCTACCAAAAAGAGGTGTGTGTTGAAGTAACGTGGTATATAGGGGAAGGAATACTGGCTTTGGGGTCGTAGCACCTGGCTGCTACTAACACTGATGTGATCTAGGACAAATTCCATTTCTGTTTCCCTCTCTATAAAAGGAGACAAGTGGTCCAGATAATCACTAAGATTCTTCAAGCTTTTACTGTATTTTCCTGTGAAATATTAAAATGGAAAATTTCCCTTACCTGGCATTCTACCAACAAAGGCCAACCTTCACTTTATTTGTGGTTTCAGCTGTACACAACTTCAACGTAGCCACAATGGTCTATGGGGGCATAATGAATAGAGTAGGGAACTTGGACTTAGGGAGACCCAGATTCAAATACTGACTCTGCTTCCTTGCTGGGTGCCCCTGGATCAGTCTTTACCTTTCTGAACCTCAGTTTCTTCAACTGTAAAGTGAGGTAATAACTCTTTGGATTACCTCCAAAGAACTCATTTAAGTGTCATAACAGTTTTCTCATTTCACTTTACTAGATCCTAGTGAGGTAGGCAGGGACACTTTTTACAAATGCAGTGCATGATCCTGGAAAGATACAAAGCTAATGGAAAAAGTCAGAGTTAAAGTTTTGTTCTGCCACTTAAAAACCCTAGCAAATTCACTTATGCCAACTTAAGTTCCCATATTTATAAAATAGAAATAATATTTGCACTATCTACTTCAAGGAATACATTATATACATGTGAGTTTCCTCTAGGGAAAGCTAATGCAACTGTCTGACCATCACTTTCCTCATCTAGAAAATGAAGAGATTCTATTAGGTGATGTTTAAGGACCCTTCTTCCCCTAACATTCTATGGATTCTGTAGAATCTGAGGCATGGGGGTGGGGGGGTGGGAGTGGCTAAAAAATTTGTCCATGGTCACACTCTTGGTAGAAATACTTAGAAACGAAGGTGTAGTAAATCTCAGACAGTTGTTTTTTCTCTTGAATCACACTGATATAGAGGTTTATTTTCCCAAATTTAATTTTACCCCATTTATATAATTTATGTTTACACATTTATGTAATCACAGAATGCTAGAGCTTATTAGTGATCATCAAATCCAGCCCATTACTCTTTAGAAATAAGAATACCCAGGAAATGGTTTGTTTCACAAATATAATATAACTTTTTTTCCTCTTTTGTAATGAGTATTTACATTATCCTATAGGAGCCTTCTGATATGACTCAAATTCCAATGGTGTTCATACGGACATGTTCTGATTGCATTAACCTCTTGCCCTAAGACTTGTGGAGGGAAGGAAATATGTATCCTGTGATTTGTGGTTGTGTGGTATCATTCCTGCTATACCAAGAGTTTTTGTGCTTCCCTAACAGTCTGACAACCAAAGAAGAGCTGATGAAGGATGCACCCCAGTTAATGATTCCTGTTTTGATGGGCGAGTCTTCTGAATCTCTCAGCAGCACAGAGGTTGAAGTTCAAAGAGAGAACCAAGCTAATGATTCTGATTCAGATGGTCCTATTCTGTACACTGATGATGATGAGGAGGAAGAGGATGAGGATGACAGTGGTGAAAGTAAGAATTTCTTTTTGAAAACAGATTTTTATTGATATTCCTTTTTAAATAACATAAATATTCCTTCTGTATCCTTCACCCTTTGCTCCTCTCAGAAGACTATCCCTTTTAGCAAAGTATTTTAAGAAAGGAGGAAAGAGAAAAAATATATAGCTAAACTGATCAATATCTTGAAAAAAACTAACAGTATATGTATCCACACCTGTGGACCCACTTCCACCTCTTCAAAGGAGTAGGGGGAGGTGTCTTTTCAGATCTCTTGAAAGTAAGTTTTATTAGACTATGTTATAGAAATGCTTGTTTTATTCCATAAATTAAAAATAAATAAATAATTTAAGAAAAAAAAAAGAAAGTAAGTTTCTTATGAGGTCAGAGAGATTTTCCAAAAACAAAAAACTCATTAGGGAGCATACAATTTGATATATTATCCTTATCCCCTTGTCAAATGAAAGACATTTATTTTTGACAGATTCATTTTTGCTTTTCGACCTTCATAGTGGATGCTCTTTCAGGGAAGAGAGATTGTAGTTCACCCTTCCGTTTTGTGTGTGTGTGTGTGTGTAACAGAGAACATGTTTCCTATCTGGAGCCCTTTTCATGGTGATCCCAGATCACTGTCACGTTCGCCATCCCTGAATGGAGCACTTCCAAGCCCACTTTACTTTTTAGTTTGATAGCTAAAGGTTTCACTTACTTTTCACTCTATAATTTAAAAAAAGACTTAAGAGGAAACTTTTTATATTGAATAGATATTGGAGATTATAGGAGAGTATGAGTTAAGGGTTAAACATACCTACGTGATTAGAAAATCACGAATAGCGGCTTGTCCAAAGCGAGTGACCGTTTGTGCGCTACAAGGAACGATGGCGACTGATCTGCTTTGCTTTGCTCCCTCTGTGCCTCATAGAGGAAAAGATCAAACATCTGAGAGAATTGTGTTGTTGTTTTTAACTTTTTAGAAGGCTAGTCTGTGGACTCATTCAATCTTATTATGGGACTAAATTCATATCTAGCATATCTAGCGTTATAAAAATAAATTATCCCAAAGCTAAACATTAAACAGCTGTTTAGCAGATTCCTTTTAGTTTGCAATAGGCAACATCCAGCACTATTTTCTTCCCAACTAGAATGAATTGTCATCTTTTGAGGTATTACCTTTCAGGGGGTAAGGGCTACTGGGTCATTCAGGGTATATAGTGATATGGAGCAGCGTACTTTTAGGTTTAGTAACTTTGTTGGCATTTTGCTGAAGGAGAGGGGAGGAAGGAAGAAGAAAATGAGCTGTTAAAGGGTACAGATCAGTGTATTTAATTCTTAAGATTTGAGAAGGAAAGAAAGCTTTAAGACCTCCATGGCACTCAAACGCAAAATCAACTTCCAAACATTTTCATAATGGTGAGATCGTTCTTGATATTTTTATCCCCCAAGTGCCCTAACACATTTTAGAACATTGTTTTGCTCTGTTCTCCAGCCTTATTCAAGACAAGCTAGGTTGAGCTTACAATGCTGATGTTAATGAAAATTTATGTTAGGAAAGTATCTGATCTTTGATTATATTAAAAGCCCTTACTGAGTATTTGTAACCTCAGTACGGACGGTTAAGAGTAAAATATATTTCTCTTTATTTGACACTTTCCCAATCCCTAGGTGCTTTGGCAAGTAAAATACGTCGCAGGGATACCCTGGCCATCAAACTTGGCAACAGACCATCCAAGAAAGAATTGGAAGACAAGAATATCTTGCAGCGAACCTCTGAAGAGGAGAGGCAGGAAATTCGACAACAGATTGGAACAAAGCTAGTCAGGTAACTTTTGAAGTCTGAATGGAATGTTGACTGCTTCACACAATTAAAGCACCTCCATCTCACTGGAGCCCACCCCAACCAACCAGAGACCCACTTAATTCAGCAAACATTTTAAATTCCCTTTATTGAAGAAATGAGGTAGCTGGGTGGCACAGCCCATAGAGCACTAGACGTGGAATCAGGAAGACTCATCTTCTTGAGTTCAGATCTGGCCTCAGATGCTTACTAGCTGTATGACCGTGGGCAAGTCACTTAACCCTGTTTGCCTTGGTTCCTCATCTGTAAAATGAGCTGGAGAAGGAAATAGCAAACCACTCCAGTATCTTTACCAAGAAAATCGCAAAATGGGGTCATGGAGAGTTGAATACAACTGAAATGACTAAATAACAAAAATTGAAGAAACGATGAATTCCAAAAGTTTTGAAATACTTTAGATACTATTCTATGTTATGAAGTTGATTGTTTTGGGAAAGGGCCACTTAAGGAATGTTATCGTACTTTGATGTAAGCCATTCAATGTCTTCATTAACTTCATTAAGTTACTGTGACATCCGTAAGGCCTAGTGCTGTGCATTCTATAAATATGGTGATGTTGGCTCTAGTGTCCTGCCTCCAGTCCAAGCCCAGTAACCATGTGCTGCTTATCTAAATCCCCTTATAATTTCAAATGTAAGAAATTATCTCTCTTGTCCTCCTAACTCCAAAGCATCTTGTCACATTACTACCACTGTTACTGAATGAATGTCTGAGTTCCTGTGGAATGAGGCACTATATACAACCCAGAGATGGCAATGTCATTCACCCTGTAGTTCTTATTTCCTGATATCATCACGATCCCTGAAAAATCCTACATTTCCTGTCCTCTGTCAATAGAAACATATTATAAACAGATGAAAGGTAACCTTCTGGGTTTATGTGAAGAAGGTTTGGGAGGTGAAGACGAATTCATTTTCTTGCACAGAACTCAAGCAATTCTCTTTGTTAATGCTGAGTAACCCCAGGGTTGCATAGCTGAGGCCAAGTGTCTTTGCAAACATCTTCAAAGAGGAAGTATGGCCCCTCTAAGAACTTCTTTGTGTCTGACCCAAGGACAAAAGTGTCAGGATCTGATGGTTCTTATTGGCTGCCTACTTGGGAAGAAGAATCTCTTCCTTGAACTCAGAACAAGTTTCTAAAAGAAAATCTTAAAAGAGAGATGGAGGGAGATCTTTCCCCACTCAGTTTAGGAATAACACATTAGTTGCATCTTTTTTTTTTAATCCATAGTGGTGACTTTTGAAGATTATCTAATTTGTACATTATCCATGTCCTTGCCTTTCCTTTTCAATCTTCTATTTCTGGTTCCCTGTAGATTGGTTACTTGCCACTCATCAGTACCTTCTCCCTGATAGTATGGCCAGGAGCAAAAAACATGGAGATGAGAATAACTGAATTCTACAGCTTAAAAAATACTTTGTGTAATCTTTTGATTTTACAGATGAGAAAAATAAGGCCCACAAGTGACCTCCAGCAAGTTAGAGCCAAGATCAGATCCTAGATATGAACTCATAAGGTGTCTATTGACCCCAGAAGATAGCCAGAGAAAATCCCAAAGCAACAACCACTCTATTTTATGTGTGTATGTGTGTGTGTGTGTGTGTGTGTGTGTGTGTGTGTGTAATATGTAATCATCATATCCTTGTTGCTGTCTTGTTAGAACATAAACTACTCCTTGAGAATAAGGGTATTTATTATATCTGTACCTAATACAGTGCCTGGAACATAGTAAACACTTAAGAACCCTCATTTAGGTCATGAAAGAAGGATCTCAGAAGGATTCTCTAACTAAGTGAACTAACTAGCCCCTTTCTTGATTAGGGAAGTTTTGCTGTGCTTTCTGACCCTACACTTGGAGTGAATGAAATACTGAAAATGATGGGTATGAAAAAAATGACTTCTAAAGTTATTGATCCTATTTATCAGTCAGCTAATCAGTCAATAAACCTTTATCAAGTACCTACTGTACGTTAGGCACTGTGCTAAGCGCTGGAGATATAAAAACAGGCAAAAGACAGTTCCTGACCTCAGAGAGCTCACAACCTAACGGGGCAGACAGCATACAATAAATATATACAAAGCAATTTATGTACAGGATAAATAGGAAATAATTAAAAGAGGGAAATTATTGAATTTAAGAGGGAATAGGAAAGACTTCCTGTAGAAGATCAGATGTTAGTTGAGACTTGAAGGAAGCCAGGAAAACCCTTAGGCAGAGAAAAGGAGGGAGAGTATTCCAGGCATGGAAGATAGCCAGAGAAAATCCCCAAAGCAACTACCACTCTATTTTATGTGTGTGTGTGTGTGTGTGTGTGTGTGTGTGTATAATATATAATCATCATATCCTTGTTGCTATCTTGTTAGAACATAAACTACTCCTTGAGAATAAGGGTATTTATTACATCTGTACCTAGTACAGTGCCTGGAACATAGTATACATTTAATAAATATTTGTTGATTGACTAATGGTCAATAGTATGAGTCTTCTAATGTAGGCAGGTCTTTTTAAATGGATTTTTAACATCTTCATTAAAATATTGAAATACCTTCTTTTTCTTTTCTTTTACTTCTGTGAATGACTGATACTTATTTATAAATTCTAGCATATTCAATTTTTTAGGCGATTAAGCCAGAGGCCGACGAGTGAAGAACTCGAGCAAAGAAATATCCTAAAACGTAAGTATTCTTTATTCTTAAATTTCTTCCATAACCTCCAAGAATGCCAGACTCCACTTATCATTGGGAAATCTTAATTATTAATCACTGATTAATATTGAAATGGCTTTTTTGAATCATTAATATTCAATTGCTTATATGCACAAATAAATAAGGGTCTGTAATTTAATTCACGTATAAAGAACTCCTAGTATGGTAACTCCCTTCATCAACACTGATCATGACACATCGGTTACTCAGTAAATAAATTATAAATCATAGGAAAATAAATTTCAAGCCAGCAGAGACTTTAGAAGCCATCAAGTTTAATCTCCTAATTTTATAGATGAGAAGCTGAGTGTAGAGAAGGTAACTGAATTGTCCAAGGTTACAAAAGTACTAAGTATGGGAATTGGGATTCAAACCCAGGTTCTCAGACTGTAAATTCAGCACTCTTTTGACCATGTTATGGCCTCTTTTATAGAGGTTAAGTCACTTGTTGAGAGATGCAAAGTTAGGAAGTGTCATAGGCAGGATTTGAACCTAGGTCTTCTTGACTTTAAGCCCAGAAATCTATCCTCCCAGTTACACTGCCTGTTTCTTTTTATGTAACCCAACCTATATTTCTTGTGTTTGTATTTCACGTTATAAAAAATAAGGCCTTCGTTGCTACAGAGTGAATTTCAAGCTTTTACCATAATCCATGACTCATTTGTCTGAAAATTATAAAATATGTGACTATGTATTCTCGTTCACTGAACCTCCCCATAAGTCAAAATTGACCTCTCCAAAAAATAAAAGTAGAAAGATATAGTTTGCTCTTTCATATCTTAAAAAAAAGCCAAAAGAACAAATTAAACCTTTCTGTATTGTAGCTAATAAAATAGTATAGTTTGTCACACTCAAAGAAATTTGTTAAATGATTAGATTTCATTTGAGTAATGAAGAAAGCAATACTTTATTCCCCTTTGTTATGATTTCTCTGTTCTCCTGGAGGAGTATTCCTGACATCTCAGAACTTAGCTATTTCCTGATGCTCCTCTTATTTCCTTTATCCTTTCTTTGGGGGCCATTTTTCTCCATCCTGGAGTAGTGTGTTGATATTAGTGTTTATTTTATTATTGGTATAAAAATAGTAGAAAAGCACTTTTCATTCTGTCATGTTACATCAGCAGAGCCATTAACAGTAGTGAGCTCTATGGTGGACATTTTTTAATGAATTATCCCCATTCTAGTTATATTTTGCATTTTATTAACTGACTTTTCGGTTTTGTAGCACGTGAAATTTCAAAGAGCTGAAGTAGGCAAACTGCCTGATTGTCACTTTAATGAAAATAAATCACTGACATTATGGAAAAATCCCTTCAGACATGGTGTTTGAGTTTTGTTGGCTAAACTGCTCTCTAGTATGAGACATTTTCTTTTCAATGCTATTTCCCAGTATATTTACCTGGCAGCTGGGATTATTACTGTAACTACCCAGCAAACATATACAAATCATGAGAATGGTTGCCCTCTATTCATTTTCTTGGGTTTTTTGCATGTTATTCTTTATTTTTTGAGGAAGAGAACTCTCTTCCATCACCCACCTGGTTTGTTTATTTGGCATAAATAGAACACAACACTGTTCATGAAAATTAAAGAATTTCAGATAAATCTCCATCACTATGCACAAGAGCCAGTTTCAGAAAGAGGGGAAGAAATAGTCCCCAGCTGAGAGAAGAAAAAATTTTATTCCAAAGGATTTCAGTTCATTTTTTTCCCCCTAAGGAAGAAATGAGACAGGATCTAATATTGACTAGCATTTAAACAAACTCAAAGATTGGAAGTTCCTGGAGGACAAGGAGTGTGTCTAGTTGAATTGACTCCCACATCATTTAAAAGATATTTTAGAAATAGAGAGAGAGGATGGTCATGGGAAGGCCCTTACCATGGTGGATAATCCTAACTCTCTATCATTAGTTTCATTGTTTGTGAATATTTATGATTTTCTATTGCATATTCTCATGTACTGTAGCTTCCTCAGCTGTGACAACAGTCTTACTATATAACTGTTGCCTTTCTATACTGACTTTGAAATGCCATAATTTCCTGGATGTCAGAGGAAGGGAGTAACTTCCTAATTAGGGTTTGGGTTTGATACCAACCTTGTCCTAATTTCCTTCTTTAAGGTCATCTAAGTATGTTGTTTATTCTGGATCCAAATAATTGTTTTCAAGCTTGGCAGGAGAGACATTAATAATCTATAGCTTCTAGAAATAATAATGTAGGGAAAATGAAAAGAGAGTCAAGAGGATCATTTCTGACATTTATTATTTCAGTTGGTCAACAAAAGAATGTGCCAAAGTCCCCATTGTATTTCTGTGATTTGTGAGCCTCTTTATTCTGTCCAACTTCCCTGCCCTTTCCCTGGTACAAAGTGGCAGCCTGGAAAGTCCTACTTATCCAAATGACCATGTACAACAGTAATTGTTACTGTAAATTATCTTCCAAAGAAAGACTTTTAACTGGGTCACCTATACTTGGTACCCTGGGCAATAGGTTTCATCAGCCAATAAACATTTTGACCAGTTCCACTAATGATCACAGCATATCAGTACCAAAATAAAGTCATCAGATTCTGATAAATATAAAGAGCATTTTTCTAGACAATAAGATTTTTACTTCATGATAAGACTTCTAAAATTGTATACTATATGACTTTTTACTTAATTTCTGTCAGAATTGCTGTAGGTGTTTAGGTTTGCTCCAACATCACACAGCATTTTACTCAGTGTCATTAAGGAATGAGGTATTTCCAAATAACCTAAGCTTACTTTAAGGACAAAAACTTGGTTTTTAAATTTAAATCAAGTTAAGGAAATCTACGCTGTATTTATATGTTTCCAACCTTCTGAAATAGAGTATATAAATAAACATAATTTTTCTTTTTCTTGATGACTGGCATAATGATCATTAGTTATTATGGTATATAATGATACCCTCCAAAACTATTGAGGTTTGTGAGGGACCTGACTACTGTAGGTCCCAGATGATTCAATTAACATGCGTGTGCCTGTTTTTTATATCTTTTATACAACCTCCTTTGCGATGCTGCCGGTAATCATTTTTGATGCTGTGTTCTCTGATCTAGGACCCTCTTTCCCCTCTCACTTCTAATTTCCTCCTTCTATTCTGTTATGAGGTAGGAAAGATAATGAGACCTGTTAGTTGACAAGAAGGACAGCTAGGTGGCACAAATGGATAGAGTGCCAGGCCTTGAGTCATAAAGATGTATCTTCCTAAGTTAAAATCTGGCCTCAGACAATTACTAGCTGTGTGACTCTGGGCAAGTCACTTAACTCTGTTTGCCTTAATTTCCTCATCTGTAAAATGAACTGGAGAAGGAAATGGTAAACCACTCTATAATATCTTTGCCAAGAAAACCCCAAATGTGGTCCCAAAGACAGAGGTGTGACTGAAACAGCTAAAAAACAACAACAAAATCCCATAACCCATATTAATGGAGGAGAAAAGCACCAAAGGTGAAAGAAGCCCATAGGTATTACACAATCCTTTACATTTTAAGTGTTTCAGGTCCTTAATTTTGATGTATTTTTCCAAATGTCTTGTCAGAAAAGCCAAATGTAACAAACTGAAATGATGCAAGGAGAATACATGGAAGGGTGAAAGGAGGCAGTGTAGGTATAATAGATAGAGAGCTGGCTTTAGAACCAGAGAGAAAGACCATGGTTCAAGTCCCACTTCTGATACATACTGGCAGTGCAACCTTGCATAAATCACTTAACTTCCCTGCACTTTAGGCAATTCTCCAAGACTATTATTGACTATTACAACAATGTCTAAAATGAGAGTAAATGGGCTCATTCTGGATATTTCTTCTGACATTCCCAAACTGAAAAAGCTCTTTAGCAAAGCCATTCAGCTCTTCAAATGCTATTTTGAAGATGAGTGGCAAGCCAACAATAGGAGTCATAACCTCTTATCATCCCAGATATCATTCCATCTTATTATATCATCATTTATTTCAAAGTCATCCAGAAGGTAGCTTTCCTGAAGTTTGTGTGAATCCTGCCCAGAACAATTATGAACTTGGCAAGCTCCACAAACTCAAGTGACCAGCAACCACAAAACAAGGTAGAAAAGATGGACTACAGCTTGAGAAGCTATATCCTAAGATGATTTTAAACTTTATATTTATACTCTATTATTTATATTCTATTCACCTCTTCAGTGGGTGACGGGGTGACTTAGTCTCTATTTTGTGGCAGTGGCAACTTAAGTTATTTTAAAGGATCATGACTGTGAGGTTCTTCTTTTGGGAACTATACCCCATAAACTGTTAAAATAAATCTCTTCTTCCCTACACAACAGTGTAAGGAATGCAAATGGTACTGCTTATTTCAAATGAAGAGAAAAAGAATCACTAGGCCATTGAAATCTTGTGTATTTTTTTTTCACAAAGAAAAACCTCTTTTGACTATTACTGACCTATTTGAATTAATAACTAAAGATTATGGCACTACTCTATGCTGATATCCTTAGAAAAAATTCAACAAGCCTCTCTGCTTCTGGAGCAGTGTGGTATAATAGATAGAGAGCTGACTTCAAGTCAAATCCAGCAGGACCCAGATTCAAGTCCTTCTTCTGGGACATAGTGTCTATATGACCCCAGGCAAGTCATTTACTCTGTCAGTGTTCTATCCAACTCTCAAAGATTGTAAATTGCAGAGAAGATGCTGACCTCCATTGGCAGAAGTTTCGTTACCTAGGAGTTCTCTATACCAGTGGAATTACAGATCTGGCACTTAGCCCCTTTCTGCCTTAGCCTTCTCCACAAAATGTCACTAGTAAACTTAACTTGCTAGGTAGGTTACCTTAAGTGCCTACAGCTTTTGGACCAAATGTATTATGTTTGCTGTGGGAGACATTCCCTATAACTTCTATGTTTCTTGGTAGTAGGTCGCTATTCACATGGTTTGTCAACATCTTTTTCATAAAACTGTCTTCTGAATTATTTGTGATGAATTTGGAAGTTTTCTGTCCTTGTTAATAAAGGAATAACCTTCCTAGGAAATTAAAGTATGAAGCATCTGGAAGAAATTAAGTGTGCACTGGAAAACAATTTTTTAAAATAAATTTTAAGAATTAAAAATAACTTTTTTCAAAAAGAGTTTTTATAGGACATAATACTTTATTAGAGCAAAGTTTAAACAAGCGGGTCATTGTTTGTTTTTTACTTCCCTATCCTGCTTCCTCTGTTCTTCTTAGGAGTAGAATCCTGCAAATATAAGGAAATCAGTTCCCGATGTGAAACGATAATTTTCATGTGATTCAGGGGTTTTTAGCTAAAGCCCCTAAATGCATCACATACTTACTGCAATTGACTCACTGAAGATCATTAGCCACCACCAGGTTGTATAATCTGGATGAAAGATTTGGATAATTAACAGATTCCCTTTAAGGTCATAGTGATTTTTGTTCTTCCTATTGAAAACTAGTTTGATTTTTTGGGTTTTTTTTTTACCTAGATTTAGTGGTGGGAAGAGATGAAGTGGGTAGTTAGTTTTGACTTTATCTTTGACAATTAACTCTATTCCTTACTGTAAAGTAAATATATAAGCCCCTTTGGGGAAAGAGTTTATTGATATAAACAAAGTGCTTGAGGGTGGAAAGTCCTATTTTTATTGGAAAGAGATGGAAGGGATTCCTTCCCTGCTAAGAACTCCCTCCATCAATGCATATTACCACTGGTTCTACAAATTATGGTCTTAATGAGTTGCCTGGGTTACTAAGAAATTAAATGACTTGAGGGGCAGCTAGGTGGCACAATGGATAGAACTCTGGCCCTGGAGTCAGGAGAACCTGAGTTCAAATCTGGCCTCAGACACTTGACACTTACTAGCTGTGTAACCCTGGACAAGTCACTTAACCCCGATTGCCTCACCAAAAAAACAAAAAGAAAAAAAAGAAGAAGAAGAAGAAGAAAAAGAAATTACATTATTTGCCCAGGGTCATGCAACCAGGATATGTCAGAGATGGGATGTGAACCCAAGTTGTCCTGGGTTCTTTAGTAAGCCATGTTTACCTCTTCTTGATGTTATCATTTCCAATAGCAATAAATAGCTGATCTTCTTGATCAAAGGTGTCAAACTCACAGCCTGCTCCCTAGTGCTGCTGAACCAAATTAAAATGTAATTGGAAAATCTTTAAATGAATACAAATTCAATAGAACCTAGATAACCTTAATATGTGGTTTCCAATATGTGGCCTACAGAGTGTGACACCACTGTTCTAGAGCTCTAATTTGAACTAGGTCAACTAGGTAGTGCAGTGGATAGAGTGCCAGGCCTGGAGACAGGAAGACACCCTCCTGAGTTCAAATATGGCTTCAGACACTTGCTAGTGGTGTGACGCTGGGCAAGTCATTTACCCTGCTTGCTTCAGTTTCCTCATCTGTAAAATGAACTGGAGAAGGGAGTGAAGCACTCCAGTATCTGTACCAAGAAACCACCATATGGGGTCACAAAGAGTCAGACAATACACACACACACACACACATACATATATGTAAAACTATATATATATATAATACACCAATATATAATATAGCCTCTATTTGAAGATATTCAAGGATAGGGAAACTACCTCTTCTATAATTGCTAGGAAGTTTTTTCTTATGTTGACCTAAACTTCCACCTATTGTTCGTAGATTTGCTTTCAGGAAGAAACAGAGTAAGTCTAAATCATCCTTCACATTGACAAAACTTTGGAAAGTTGAAGGGAGCTATCATATCCCCGCCTCCACCCCTACCCCTTTTGTGTCCTTTTTTCCCAAACTAAACAAGTCCAGTTTCTTTAACTGATTCTCATACACCAATATCACTTGGGTTGGTTTGTCCTAGTAATGTGATTGTTTGTATTAAGGATATTCTTCTAAAATAAGATCGTTTCAGAATAAATTATTTTAATTTAGTGAATATATATTTAGTGGAATAAGAAATATAACCATAAATGTGTTCATAAGAAGAAATTTAATCGTTTATCAAAGGTATTTGGTTCCAGATGGGCCACTGAACAAAAGTCGTTTTTATTTTTTTCATGCTGTAATAATTTCTATTTGAAATAATTTTATTTGAGTAACATACATTAGTGAGAAGTATTTGCCCTCTTTCTTACTAACATATTTTTCAGAAGTGAATTGAAACTCTAAATATTAAATAAGGAATAATAATAGTGAGTTTGGCACATTAAGTAAGCAAATAGAATAGTTTTGTTTAGACACACATGATATCTTAATGCCTTTTAATCATTATTTCCCAGTAAGAAAAGGAAAAAATGAATGCAAAGTTTCCATTATGAAATTGCCATATTGGCAATGTCATTATTTACTCTATAGCTTGCCTATTTTATTATTAAAAGTGGAAAATGTACAGGACTGTTCTTATGTTTTTTGTTGCAAATGAATAACCTCATAATTGAAAGATTTTCAAGGTTCTAAATTGCCCGTTCTCACATATTAAAAGTTTGCCCAGAGTTATAAATGTAAAGCTTTAAAAAGTGTCAAGGGAGACATTGTACTGAGAAAAGTTGCAGACTTGTTTTGGGGATTTTTTGGTATAGGTTTTTTTGGATGAGGCAGGACTCTGTAAATCCAATATTATTTGAAACAAAAAGTATTAGATCCCCCAGGAAAACAAACATAATTTCTGTGTAATTATGTAGTGTCTACTAGCTCTTACATGGTCTATAATTTTAGCAGTAATGCCTAAATGCTAATTCTTTTTCAGACCTGCTAGTTATTTCCCATAATGGAATGAGGCCATGTGCTTTCTAGCAGAAAGAGCACTCGCACTGGACCAAGATGGACTTGATGCCACTAAGGTCCCTTACAACTCAAGATCTATGAATGTATCAACCAAAAGCTATTCTCATTTATTAGGATTAGCTATAAAATAGTGAAGGCAGTAATCAAGTAATTATCAAATTATATATCAAATGATAAATCATGGAATTCTGTAAGATTCCCTTTTCTCCCTCAAATTATAGAAAAAATTTCCCCCCAATAATCCCATAAATCTGATCACATTCTTAAAAGGTAGATTATGGCTTATAGTCAAATAGATTTATGGTAGCTTATATGCCTTGAATTGGAAAAGGCCTTAGAAAACTCACCATAAAGAGAAAATCACAAGTTTACATGTAATGGCTCACCCTTCCACCTTTTGAGACCTTTTCTCCTTTGAAAACATCAGGAAAATTGGTTATATACTGGTTTTAAAGAATCTGAAGACTGAAAATAACAAATAGAGCTTGGTTTGAATGATGATTTGGTAGTTCAAATATACATCTAAAATTTATCCAATTCTGTTTTTTTATTTGTTGTCTTAGAATTATCCTATTTAGATTGGACCTAAGACTAAGCTTTCCTTATATAAGCTGATACTTTTTTCTTGAAGTCATATTGGATTTACTACAAATAAGCCCTCCCCACCCAAAAAAAACCTTCTTATTACCTGCCTTGTTAAGACAACCACACAAAGTGAAGAAGAGAATGATAACTAGATAAATAGAAATAATAAATAAATTAGATAAACAGTTGGATTGTATCTTACTTTTTTCAAACCGACCTTAGTAAAACAAAGGCAAAACAAGGAGGTCTTTGACGTCTTTTTTTATGATTTGGACAAATTCAGAATCCCATAATTTCAGATTTGAAAGGAACGTCAGAGGCCTTCTACTGCAATCTGCATATCTATAATAACTCTGACAAGTGATCATTCATCCTTTTCTTGAAGAACTCTACTGAGGAAAAATTTATCACTTTCTAAAATGCTTTATCCCAGTTTTAGTTTTAATTATTAGAAGGTTTATGCTGATATTAAGTCCAAATCTGCCTCTATGCCCTATCCCATCCATTGCTTCCAGTTCTACCACCTGGGGCCCAAACACAGCAAGTGAAATCTCCCATAGCCATCTTAAGACTTCTTCTCACTCAGCAAAATTATCTAAAGCTAAAGAGTAAAGGAGAGAAAAGAATTCAGGCAATAAAAATAATAACATTCATAGCTAGTATTTATACAGTACTTTACAGTTTGCAATGACTTTTGCAAATATCATTTGACCCTTACAATAACCATGGGAGGTATGTACTGTTATTATTGTCGTTTTACAAATGAGGAAACTAGGTAATACAGAGGTTTAAATTATTTGCCCAGGCTCATACAATAGCAAGTATCTGAAGCTGGATTTGAACTCAGCTCTTTCTTCCCAATTCCAGGTGCGTCTATCCACTACAGAAGAAATTTGCATTATGACCATTCATTAAACATATTTGCCTCCCTTTAGGTGGTTTAATCCAGGATCATAGTTTTCTTGGGTTGTGTTGTTTTAACTATAAACAGACATACCTTCATCATTTGCAATTATGTACTACTGATAAAAAGCAAAATGTTTTTTCTCTTTACCACTTAGGAAAAATGATAAAGTCCCACCTTCTCACACGGCCTGGTGAAGTTCCTCTCTAAATAAATATAGTCTATTTCTTCTTTTGAAACGTGGGGCCGTTTGGGTGAAAATAATGACGTTCTCATCTGCTTTTCTTACCCAAGGATCATCTGTTGGACTTAAATAGTCATACCTTAACTCTTTTTATACCAATAAACAGAAAAAAATGAAGAAGAAGAACAAGAAGCAAAAATGGAACTGAGACGCAGACTCAGCAGAAAGGTGATGGAAGTATCACAGTGCATGTCTTTATGTCTTTGTGTGTTTACATCATGTCCCTCTGTACCACTTAGCTCCCTTCTTTCTTATAGTGACATAAGTCACTAAGTGGATTCTATTCAAAAGTTCCCAGTATTTATTTAGATGACATGCTAAGATCGCTCTGTGTGTTATATGAGTGTCCACACACACACACACACACACACACACACACACCCCTATGTATCCACAAAATAAAGGATTTTCTATTATGTTTATATTTAGTTACTTGGTATGCCTACACAGAAAAATTTTTTAAATGGGCTCTAAAAATAAATTTGCTTTTTTCCATAGAACCAAAGTAGAATTTTAAGTAAATATTTGGGTTCTTGGAATTGTGGGTCTATTATGAGTGTATTGTGTGGTATATTACCATTGATAGAAGATGTGAGGGAATCATGGTATAGTGAATAGAGCACTAGATTTGGAGTCAGAAAAGCCTGGGTTCAAATCCTGCCTTAGACATTTAATAGCTGGGTAATCTGGACAAATCACTTAACCACTTTGTGCCTCAGTTTCCTCATCTGTAAATTGAGGGGGTTGGACTTGATGGCCTCTAAGTTCTCATTTGATGGTCCTATGATTGTTTCTACTGGATAATCTAGCTCAGGGTGGGAATCCTATGGCTTCAAGGTCACACATGGTTCTCTAGATCCTCAAGTGCAGCCTTTTGACTGAGTCCAAGTTTTGCAGAACAAATCCTGTTATTAAGGGGATTTGTTCTGTGAAGTTTGGATTCAAAGGGCTGTACTTGAGGACCTAGAGAGCCATGTGTGGCCTTGAAGTCATAGTTTCCCCACCCCTGCTCTAGGTCCTAAGTGCGGCCCTTTTGACTGAATCCAAACCACCCCTAATCTCGCTAATCTGTTTTTCCTGATTAAGTGTATCCCCAAAATAACAAAAAAAAAATTTTAAGCTCTTATAGCTCAGGCAATTGTTATTTCTAATGCAGTAGTTCTCAGACTTTTTGGTCTCGGGACCTCTTTATACTCTAAAAAAATTATTAAAGACCCCTGAAAGTCCTTTTGTTTATGTCTATCGATATCTATATTTAGCAATAGACTAGTTAGAAAGTTTGCTCTCCATGTTAGAAATTAAAATATCTTTGTTTTATTATGAAAATAGTTTTTCCTCGTGGACTTCCTAAAAGGAGAATCCCACTCTGAAGGGGTCACCAGACCACACCTTGAGAACCACTGCACTAATTTATAGAAATAGAAATCTGGTTAAAAGCAATTTTTCTATAAACAAAAAAACAGAAATCTTTTTAAAATAAAGTATGAGTATTTTGTATGTATACTTTCAATATTTATATATTGCAGTATAAATAAGTAAATTACTACTGTCATTAAAACCAACAACAGGAACCTATAGCATTTATATCACACCTTGAAATTTACATTGCACTTTACAGATATTATCTCATTTGACCTTCACAATAACCCTGTGAGGTAGGTATTACTAATATCCCCATTTTACAGATGAGGAAACTGGGACTAATGATTAAGTGACTTGCCTTGGTTAATAAATCCCTGTGGTAGGATTAGAATCTAAGTATTCCTAATTTTAAATCCCTGGCTAAACAATTTGTATTATAGTTGTGATAGCTATCCTCTATAACTTTATTTTATTGAGTAGAGTGCAAGGAAGTTTCTCTTTCTTCATTAATTTTACAGAGGAATAGATAAACTTTTATTTATTACTGCAGGTTAAGTGACTCTGGAACAAAATTTGGCCTCTGACCTCAATAACTCATGGAAAAAGCAGTGTGAAAAAGGCTGGGCAAAATGATTCCTTCTGATGGAAATAATGCTGTAACTGCATTTTGAGATCATTTCATCATTAAAAACCATATATTTAACAAACACCTTCTCAATGGACTAGAAATCAAAGAAAAAACAAGTTGAAATAGAGTTAGCACCTTGTATGAAAAAGGACTTTGCTAACTACCCGAGGCTCTAGAGATGCTCTTTAGGGACACTTTGGTGACTGATCCCTTTCTTTTGTCACTACCTGGGAAGATAAGATGTTGAGGAATGAATTATTGATGGATTAAATTGATTATAAATATCATACCCATATTTGGTATGGTCCCAGAGCCTTACTGAAGGGCTTGGATCACTATCTTCTGCAATAGAATGAATCTGATCCCTCAATTTTAAAGTTGAGTTAACCATGAATTACCTAATGAGGTTAAATCAGTTACCTAAGGTTATGTGGATAGTGCAATTAGTAATAGAAATCTGGTGTCCTAGCAGTGGTTAGCAGCATCAGTTCACCATAATAGAATCATAGAGTCAGAACTCGTAGATCATCTAGTTCAGTGGTGTCAAGTTCCAATAGAAATGGGAGCCACTAAATGGTACATAAGATTCCCAGAGGGACATATTAACTTAGAAAAATCACATATTAACATTATCTATGTTCTATTGTATTTTTATTTGTTTTGTTAAACATTTCCCAATTATATTTTAATATGTTTGACATCTCCAATCTAGTCCAATGTCCATAATTTTACAGATGAGGAGACTAAATCTGTGACAAGGACATCATGAAAATGAAGTAGCAGCAATATGCCTGGTCTTTCCTGTATGAAATTAGTATTATAACTTTCAATTTAGAAACACTCTTAGAATATATTAGAGTATATTACCTTCATAGTAAAGTCCCTTCAAGACTTGAGCAAGCCAAGTTTCTCCCAATCTGTCGATGTCATTCCTACACTTCCCTCAAGCTTGGCAAGGTCTAGGGAAAATCAGCAACTTTTGTCATACTAGATAGAATATGATGCACGTAATTTAAATTGTGCTATGATCATTTTGTTGAACCAGTGTCTCAAAGGAAAAAGCTGATTGAGTAATTGTGTTCACAAAGATCTGAGACTCCCTGTTCTTGTCTCTTAAACAAGTCACTAGCTGCTCTTTCCTCCTTTCTTGTGTCATTCTCCTAACTATAACTCCACCTAATCTGCCCAGAGTTGCTATAGTGTCCAGCTAACTGGCAGAGTAGGCATAGATTATAGGTGAAGCCAGAGTGACCTTATCCTATAAAAAGTTTTGCACAGGGTAGCCACCTTGCTGGGTATTTCTTTTTCCTAGGTTTGAGTGTATATTACGGATTTATAACAAGGTTAACAATTTTACAGGTAGAGTAGAATCAGTCCATTTGAAGCTGATGATACAGGCAAAGAATTATAAAATGTTAATCCCAAAAGGGATCCTAGAGATCATCCATTTTAACCCCATTATTTTACAGATGAGGAAACGGAGGCTCAAAGGTTAAAAGACTTGCTCAGAGTCACATATCTAGTGTTTTCAGGTTCCCTACCTAGTACTCCTTCTGTTGTGCCATACTTCTTGGATCCTTATTTCCAAAATATTAGATGTCTTTAAAAGTATTCATGTTTTCATTCCAATAGTTTAGTCCCCAAACTAACCTTCTTATTTCTGATCATTGTTATATGTGTTTCGTGTATTACTAATGACACTGAAGACAGCCTTCACAGAGCACAGTAATTTAGAAAAAATCATAATATAGAGACAGTAAGGTTTTTGTAACTCGTCTTACAATGATGATTTTTATAGACTCAAAAACTAGGTCATGCTGCTTTCTGGTTCTTGTTAGAGAATCCCAAGGCACTGCCTTTTTTTTTTCTTTCTTGAAACCTGAAAGTGACCTTGTTTAACAATAACTCTGAAGTGCTCTCTGTAGACAACATTGTTACCCTGTGGCTGTACATCGTCGGCTGAACTTTTCTCATTTCTTCCTCTTTTATAGCTCAGTTTGAGACCAACAGTGGCAGAGCTACAAGCAAGAAGGATTCTTCGGTTTAATGAGTATGTCGAGGTCACTGATTCTCCTGACTACGACCGCCGAGCAGACAAGCCCTGGGCCCGACTAACACCTGCGGATAAGGCAAGAGCCACAGTAGATTTATCTCGGAATCTATTTTTCTTCTGAAAATATTAAACTATCCCTCCATATCCTCTTAAAATTTTTCCAAAAGAAGCTAAATGTCACCTGTTGTCCCACAAATCAGTCTCATAAACATTTACGCGTGTTCTCCTCTTAATTCGGTACCGGCAGTGGCCAAGACTGTAGTGCCCACAGGATAAGGATTGGACTTGAGAATTCACTGATATAGGGAATTCTTCCATGAGCAAATCCTCTTTATTGGTGCAGGCATCCACCTTCTCTACGAACTAGGTCTTCCAGTGTTCAAAGTTGACTCTCTGTCCATTAGGTCGATCTGTTTCTCATACCATGCCCAAAATTTCTGATAAAAATTTCTGTAGTATTATGGCTTTTTCATCAAAATTTCCTATGAGTTGCATTCATCCAGTGCCTTAAATTAATCCATGACTGTAAAATTGATTTTTGGGGGAAGTTAGTATGTTTTGGCTTAATACAATTTCTGAAAGTATGTATTTTGCAAACAAAAATAGCTGTAGGCATTGGAACAACATGAGTAAGTGGGTTTTTCCCATATGTGCATAATCTTTAATCCTAGATATTCATCAATATGATATAGTCTCTTGGCCAATAGATCATCTTTGTAAGCTAAAGAGTCCACTGAATCACCTACAAAGGACCTCTAGATGTGTCTAAAGAAGTACAACTTTCCTTTATTACTTAACCTACCTTCATTTAAAGCTAAATGGCAAAGATTCATACTAGAATTACCAGCACATCATCCTATCCATACTACTGGGAAATAAAAAAAAATTGTCAACAGGAAAACCTACCGATTAAATATTTTGGAACATCTGCCACACATAGAGGATTCATTGAGTAGCAATACTGATGCCAATTAATTACTGTGGCACTACACCAGAAGTGCTTCTTTTTGGTCATTTGTTTTCAGGACCTCAATTTTTAGCATTTTATAGATATCTGAAACCAGCAAAAGACTATTTCCCATTCTTAAATTTAAAGAAAGCTGAGTAATAAATGTATGAATCTACATGCTATGCATGTATGCTTCAAATGATCTGTGGTTTCCCTGATATCAATATTTCCTCTGTTAGTGTGCATAGTAAAGCCTTCATACCTTCTCATCTTGTCAGTGCTGTTCCATGAATCCTTCTCTGAGGTGGGGCTTTTTTCTTTAGTTCTTTATTTTGAGGATACTGTGATTTTAAGATAATCAGATTTAGAACTTGAATGAAATTCAACTTCTGCTTTTATAGGTGATGTAATTGATGCCTAGGTGAAGTGACTTCCCCAAGTAATGTAGGTAGCAAGCTGGAAAGCCAGTTTATCTCTTGACCTGTCCATTAACTATCCCACATACTTACTATGTGACTGACCCTTCTTCTTTTATAGTGATGCAAGTTTTTCTTGATATTGCTGTGCAATGTTCCAGTGTAATACAACCCAGAATACAGTGGAGCCTGGGACTTCAAGCCCAAAGACCAGGATAAAATTCCCAGTTCTGCTCCTTGCTACCTATGTAACCTGGTCATAGTAATTTACTTAGCTGAGTCTCATTTTCATCTGGAAAATGAAGGGATTGGGCAAACCCAAAGACATATCAGATTTAGTCTAAAAAAGAAAAAAGAGGGGCAGCTAGATGGCGCAGTGGATAGAGCACTGGCCCTGAAATCAGGAGGACCTGAGTTCAAATCCGGCCTCAGACCAAACACTTGTCACTTACTAGCTGTGTGACCCTGGGTAAGTCACTTAAACCCAATTGCCTAAAAAAAAAAAGAAAAAAGTAAAAAAGAAAGAAGAGACACTGAGACTAAAAATATCAGAAAAAACACTAAAGTAGTATCTATGAGTTGTGTCAGAAACAATACAGTAAATTCCTAATGGCATAGTAGTTAGTTGATACAATCAGGAAATTTCAAGTAAGGTCAGTAAGCTTTTATTTAGCATCTACTATGTGCTAGACACTGTGCTTAGCACTAGATATACAAATAAAAGCAAAAAAAAAAATCCTTGCTCTCAAGAAGCTTACAATCTAATTGTAGAGACAACATGCAAAGAACTATGTACAAACAAGATATAAACACGGTAAGTTTGAGATCATCTCATAGGGAAGGCAATAGGATTAATGTTGACTGGGAAAGATTTATTGCAAGAAAAAGGACTTTAACAAAGACTAGAAGGAAGCCAGGAGGTAGAGATGCTGAGGGAGACCATCCAGGTCTGGGGGGAACAACCAATGAAGATGTTTGGAGTCTGGAGATAAGAGTGCAAGAAATAGCAAATAAGTTAGTGTCACTAGATCACAGAGTATGTAGAGTGGAGGAAAGTGTAATAAAACTGGAAAGATTAGAAGGGACCAGGTTGTGAAGGTTTTAAAAGCCAAACCAGAGGGATTTTTGTTGTTTGTTTTGGTTTGGGTTTTGATCCTGGAGGTAATAGGGAGCTATTAGAATTGAATGAATGAAGCAGTGGGAAAGTGACATGGTGAGACTTGAGCTTTAGGAAGATCAGTTTGACATATAAGTGGAAGATGGACTAGAAAATGGAGAGATTTAAGGCAGGAAAATCAACCAGCAGACTTTTGTAGTCCAGTAGTAAGGTGATAAGGGCCTGTACTAAGGTGGTGTCAGCGTCCAAGGAGAGAAGGGGGAATATGAGAGAGATGTTGTGGAAGTGAAAACAATAGGACTTGGCAACTGACTGGATATGAGGGGTGAGAGAAAGTGAGAAGTCAAGAATGATACCTTAGTTGTGACCCTGGGTGACTGGGAGAATAGTGGAAAAAGAAAGTTAGGAAGAGGGGAGAGTTTGAAGGGATAAGTAAGGAGTTGAGTTTTGAACATGTTGAGTTTAATATGACTACAAGACATCTAGTTCAAGATGTCCAGTAGGCATTTGGAAATATGAGAATGGAAGTCAGGAGAAAGGTTAGAACTAGTCAAACGGATTTGGAGATCTTCAGTAAAGATATGATAATTGAATCCATGAGAGCTAATGAGATCACCAAGTGAAACAAAAGAGAGGGAGAAGAGGGCACAAATCAGATGGCGGATGCCCACAACTAATGAACTAAGTCTGGGTGAAGACCCATAGAAGTATCTGAGATGGAGCAGTCAGACAGAGAGGCAGAGAACTAGGAGCAAGTAGCATCTCCAAAAATGTAGAGAGAGAAGAGAGTATCAAGGATATGAGAAATAGGAAAATTAGGAAGAGGGAAGATTTGGGGAAAAACTAATGAGTTCTGTTTTAGATACATTGAATTTGAGATGCTAAGGGATGCCAAGATGGAGATTTTAAAGCAAACAGTTGGAGATGTGAGGCCTGGAGCACAGAGAGCACAGGGGGAGATTTGGGAGTTATCTGGTGATCAACAATGTCAAAGGAAGAAGAGGCATCAAGAAGGGTGAGGACTGAGAAAAGGCCATTAAAATTCGGCAGTTAAGAGATCATTGATAACTTTGGAGAAAACAGTTTCAGTGGAATGATGAGGCCAGAAGAAATGAAAGAAACAAATATTTATTATGCACCTACTATGTGCTAGGCTAGGTACTAAGGGCATTATAAATATATCACTTAATCCTTACAGCAACCTTTCGAGGGAAGTGTTATTATTATTCCCATTTTACAGTTAAGGAAACTGAGGCAACCAATAGTTAAGCAGCTTTCCAGCATTACACAATTAATAAGAGTCTGAGGTCTGATTTGAATTCAGCTCTTCCTGACTACTGGCCCAACACTATCCACTGGGCCACCTAGCTACCTCTAAGCTAGAGCACAGAGAGTTAATACTGAACAAAAAAGTAATTAAGGCATCAATCATAAATGATTGACAGGTATAGGATGGTAGCTAGCAGGGTTGGATGGATCAAATGAGGGTTCTTTTGAAGATAGGGGATACATAAGTGTGGTTGTAGACATTAGGGAAGCACCCAGTAGACAGGTAAAAATTGAAGATTAGTGAAAGAGAAGGGATGCAATCCGCTGGAGAAAATGAGCTGGCATGATATGTGTGTAGGTAAAGGGGTTTGCATTGGCAAGGCTGCCTCTTCAGGTGAGACAGGTAAAGGAGAAGTGAAGCAAGTATCTGAGTTACGTAAGATGAGGAAGAGGGATATATATATATACAAAATAAATACAATTATAAAATACAAAATAAGGGACGGACGGTTAAGAGAATCAGGAAAGGCCTGCTGAAGGAACTGGGATATGAAGAGAACCTTGAAGGGAGCTGTGGGGTTCAAGAGGCAGAGGTGAGGAGAGAGAGCATTCCAGGCATGGGGAATAAATGCCTGTGCAAAATCACAAAAGTGACTGATGCAACGTCCTGGGTGAACAGCACCAAAAGAGCCAGTTTGGCTGGGTGTAGAGCACATGGCAGGGAGTAATAGGTAACCATTCTGAAAAGCTGCTATGCAGCCAGATAGTAAAGGGGTTTGGATGCACAGTCAAAAATCCTTAGCCAGTAAATGCTCTCAACAGCAATAGGAAAATTAGGAAGAGGGAAGATTTGGGAGAAACTAATGAGTTCTGCTTTAGACACATTGAATTTGAGATGCTAAGGGACGCCAAGATAGAATTTTAAAGCAAGCAGTTGCGGATGTGGGACCTGGAGTACAGAGGGCCAGATATGTAGATTTAGGAGTTATCTGGGGAAAAAAGGAGCATCTGGATAATCTAACAACCCATATGATATTCTTCCTATGTTTAGATTTCCTCCATAACACTGGCCAAAACTTTCAAGAAACATGTATCTCTTCAATTTTATACCATGCTTTATATTGATACTTAGATCACTGAATAAGCTTGTCTGTCATATCTTGCATTTTACCATGTGAAACCGTTGTTCTAGGAAAGCCCTTCCAGGCTGTGTTTTTGCTTCACCACGGAAAGTTTTTTGGTTACAAAAGACCAAAAAGTGTATGTGGTGTGTTGCACAAGACTGTCTGCAAAAGCCTGCCTGTTTTCTTTTTGCATGTTCATTA